ATATAGGTGATACTAGAAGGATCACGAGCAAAAATAGCAACACTAAAAGTGGCCTCCAGATATAGAAAACTGAGTTCTCCACATCCGGCTCTCCGGGTATACTCTCAAAACTCGTCACGCCATACTGCGTGACGGCACAACGCATCTGCTTGTACCACGTGACACGCCGTCTCGCCAATAAGCACTCCACTAGCAGTCACCCTGCGTCCGCGAGGACCAACCACAGGTCTGGCTGTTAGTCAGGTGCAAAGTGAGCGGACGGCTCGTTACAGACAGTTAGTCTGACAGTAGTTCTGCCAGCCAACCGACTTACACTCAAAATGTGTAACTCCCAAATACGAACATATAAAAACATTGGTTATTATATACCCGGAAATACATACTAAATTCTACGTCCCTTAAACGTTATACTAAAACTAAGATATCCCAAAAGATATCTCTAAATACCATATTACAACAAGTACATTGTACATGCATAATTAAAATTCTGATCGGCTTCAAATTCAATCATTTCAAGCCTCAATTTTATGAGCATTTTAATCAGGCAGATTCGGAGTTATAATTATTTCTATTGCAGACTAAAATACCACAATTTTAGCGATTTGCTCATGCATTGGTAAAAGTGGCATATTCACTTTCAGTCAGTGATCGACAGATATATATCATATACATATGTTGTAGCGCGATGCACTACTGGGTCGCGCGCGCGCATCCAATAATGCTTCTCGCAACATTCGGTAGATCGGCGAGATGCACCACTGCCTCACCGAGCTGCGAAGGATTGACATCGTGAATCAAATATATATGCTTACCTAAACACAAGGAAATGTTTTCAAAGGTAAAATTTCGAAATCGTTGAAATTACCTCCTTATTAATGAAGTTATGAATTTACATTTCGAATTTTTAAAGTAGCCTGACATATTTATAATCAAAAAGAGATGATATTTGACCAAAACCCATAATCACGGTTAGAGTGGACCGCTGCCATGAGTGCCTTTCTTTCCTAAACAAAAGGAAATGATATTAATTTGAATAACCGTCCGCAAATGCAAAATGATACCGAGAATGAAAATGAAATCGGTCGCTCGCTTTTCCCATTCATTCACGGCTTACGAATTTTAATAAGTTTCAATTAATTACATCAATCGCATGCTGTAAAAATCTTTTTGGGTTGCTTTCGGGTCGATACCTAGTATTACGGGATAAGAGCGGTAGTTAGTGTCCAATTAGCTGTTGTTTATTGAATATTTATTGCCGAGTACAGCCGCCTTCGGGTAGTTTTTCTTAATCTATTACAATTGTAAATGAACCATGAAGGGGAAATATGCGAGCGGCCGATTTCATTCTCGGTATCATTTTGCATTTGCGGATGGTTATTCAAATTAATATGTAGTATTATTTCATTTTGTCTGGGAAAGAGAGACACTGGCAGCGGTCCACTCTACCCATGATTATGGGTTTTAATTTTGGTCAAATAATATTATATATACTTGATACTTCACGACAATCTGTTGTAAAGCAGAGGTTCCAGAAAACCCACTTCCCGATATTCTTGAAACTTTAAACTTTTTTTACAGTCGATTTGGCTAACTAAACGTCTGGACGCACTGCAAAAGTTTAAACGTCTAACTCAATTTTAACATGGTTTTTAAGGCACCTAAATGTAGCGATTTTGGGTTTTTTAACCGAATTTCGTTGTTCGTAGAACAGTGCTGGTATGGTGCGTATTTTGCGCAAATTTCTAAAAACCTCCACATGACTAATTCTTATTCTTGCCATTTTTTCCCTACTCTTGCCGAAGGCAAAAAGATCGTAGGGAATAAGTAATCGGGTTTGGATATATGAGGTGGCCCGACGGTCCTACGGTGTCGACAAAAGTCTGCTCCTTCGCAATATAAACCACTCCCTATAATTATGTGTATTGGAAGCGTATGTTATGCTGCGCGCAACGCTAGCCATGTGTTAATTAATTACAGTGAAGATCCTCATTCGCAAAGTTATTTTCCGCAATTTTCTGGATTCATTTATTGTTGATGCGCGCGGCGCTACATTGGTCAAATAAATCGTCAATTTTAACCATGCGCGAATCCCACTCATTTATTATTTTTTCCAGTCACACTTTTCACTCGAAAGAATTAATGGTACAAAATACAAGTACATTGCGTCGTAGGGAAAATTAAATAAATCGTGCGTGGTTTAACCGCGGCGAAATTCTTGTTGACATTGAATTATAATGTTTTGAACTTAAATTTAGAATATGCCTGCTTAACGACTTTCGAGGAGTCCTACTCCTAACGCCTGGAAAAAATAAAGGGGGTATAATAGTATTGGGGGTAAATAGTATATATAGTGAGTATAATGGCAACGCCAACAGTCATGCTTGCGCCATGCTTGACATACGTTGCATGCCACTTTTCGCGCGCAAAGCGCGCGCCGCCGACGGCGCTACTAATTCACGAAAATCGCGCTATATTTATATTTCGCATTGGATATATAGATGACCAATGATATCGCAGTATTAAAGTCATGTGATACCGCGATGTAATGAGCTAGCTGGCGTCTGCCTAAGATCATATTTATGCTTTCTCCTCTTTTATCACTCGATAGTGGTAACTCGTTACATATGCTTTGTGCTTATACTTTTTTGTTTAACCTGTTGTTCAATTTGTTTAACATTTCTTTGGTTATTTCAAACCACTTCAATCCCCAAATTTATACATCTAACTATCTCTCTGGTTGCTTCCATCTCGTTAAAGCCAAGGCTCGACCGGGACTGCTTTTTTGGCCGGGACTGGGGAAAAGTGCCGGGACCAGGATTAAGACCAGGACCGGGATTAGGGATCAGGATTAAGCCGCAATCCTGGTCTTATCACAAGTTGGGCATTCTCCAGTACTGTTTGTGGTTTGGCTATTATGGCTAATCACCTCCAATCCAACCTCATGTTGATGTAGTAGAATCTTCACTCAATCTACTTCTAGTTTTCTTCGATTCTGCTACCTCCATTCTAGCTCTTTTGAGCATTCTCTGAATGCTACTTCCTGCTCTATCTAGCTTCCACCAACGCTCAATAATTGTTATTATGCTACCACTAGCACTTGCAAATGTTAGCCCTATCCAGCTCAGCAACCTCAGACTTGTTCCTACTCTGTCCAGCTATCACCAGCACTTGCAAATTACAAAAATCATTGACATACGTTGCATGCCACTTTTCGCGTAACATTAACAATCTATTCGTTAGTGTGTTTTCCATTTGTCTCATGCTGTTCAATTATGTGTTTATATAATTTTATAATCCATATCTATGGACATTTAATTGACCTCATACTCAATTGTTAGTTATTAGAATTGTAGGCTTAACGGAGAAATAAAAGAGTAACGTGATAACTCTTACTTCGTATTATAGATTATGCTAGTTAAGTATTTAGCTAACAAAGCTACTTGTCTATGTTACTGAAGGAAGTTGGGACAAACTCTAAAGAGGAACTGCGAACCCTGATGCGGGACAGGGATATATGGAGGGGGTTTTCTGGCGTAGATCGGACTTAGCTCCGACATAGTTAGCTAATTAGTGATTCACTCCCGGCGCGAGAACAAAGCGCCAGGAAAATAAGACAATTTTTCGCGCAAACTTGTAAATTTACTTACGCCGCGCAGAGGTGTTCCTTCCTGGTGTATCCATATTATCCCTGATATTGGGATACGAAACATGTATCAACGCCATGCCAGCACTGTGATTTCAGTGTTCAGGTGATCGAGACAGTTTTTCGCCAATATCTTGCCAGGGAAGTATTTTTGATTTTAACCTTATGTGAATGTCATGCAATGTAGGTGATTTGGAATCATCATCCGAAAATACATCGATTCAAGTTGGTTTCACTTTTAGAAAAATCTTGAAGATCGATTTACTTTTAGCACGCTTGATTTTTACTTCATACTTGAAAACTTTTCGACGAAATATTTTTAAAATTGTTGTTCAAAATGTCCAGAAACGTCTATTAGTATTAAAGCAACCTTTTGATAGTCTGAACTGTTCATTATCCTTTGATCAAATTAAAAACTCTGTAAAACCCAAATTTAAAATTAAGGTGTAAAACGGCAAAAATACAAATTTCCCAACCCAAAAAAATTAGCTGTAGGTTTAATAGTGAAGTCATTCCCGATCTCATTTTAATTCCCGGGATTCGGGATCAATCCCGACCAAAATAAATCCCGGGATTCCCGAAAATCGGGAAAAATTTCCCGGATTCCCGAAAATCGGGAATTTCCCGGGATTTCCCGGAAAAAAGTGAACTTGAAGCAGTATAGAGTGTCATTTGCAATTTTGATTAGAATTTTTTGGACTTATCAATATCAAACTCAAAGATGTTCGCTCGTGAAAAGATAAATCTACTGATATTTCATGATCCACCTCAGCCCAGGTTCTTCATCGCTCACTGATTCTGAGTCATTATCTCTATCTTCATCGTCGATCAGGTAGTCACCTAAAACAGTCAACTCTGCCAAGTCAGGGTCTTCAGTGGTATTTTCCTTGACTTTAGATTTTTTTACAGAACTAAAGACAAATTGGTCGGATCAGGCAGCTAGCTGCTAGATCAAGATGCGCGCATATTTTACAACAGTGTCAGTACAACGTAACATAAAATAAAAGCACGTGTGGCGATGATTGTTATGATTATATCATGATCATTATTTATTTATATTACCCAGCGTGAGCATCGAAGATTCGAGCATTAGCAAGCTTATCTAGGCGCTAAATTTAAAAAAATTACGTTGCATAAAATTTCCCGAAATTCGGGAAATAAAAAAATTCCCCGGTCGGGAATTTCAGGTCAAAAATGGTCGGGAAATCCCGGGATCGGGAATTCCCGACATCGGGATTCGATTGACTTCACTAGTAGGTTATAAACTTACAAAAAAAATGCGGTCACATTTTTTCTTTATTTATAAGGCGAAGAATATTTTCGTGCTGAAAATTAGACGAAATGAAAAGTCTGAATTCAGGTCGCTGAATAAATTAGAAATTAATTCAAAATTGGACACAAATGCGATACAACAAAAAGCTTTTAAAATAAAACAGATTAATTGCCTAATTTTTATGATATTGTGCACGAAATGGTGACCTCCTGACCACTTACGTTAAAATGTGTCTTCGTCGGTTGATTTACAAATTAAAGTTTGATTAAAAAGTCGGTCCGAGGGAACTATTCAGTAAACCATATTTGGTAAATTTAAGCTGTTATGTGGATTCTCCTCTACCTAGCTATAAATATAATTCTGAAATACGAGTTTTAATATTTCATCCAAAATCAAAACTTGTAATGACCAAATGCAAAATGTGATATTGTAGAATTGTCTTAACCTTTCAATCAACTGATGAAGACACATTTATAATAATTATATGCTTAAACCATAAAACCAACTTCATGATCACTGAGTATATCCCATATCGGTATCCCATATCGGTATCCCATATCGGTATCCCATATCGGTATCCCATATCGGTATCCCATATCGGTATCCCATTCCTTAACAAAACCCAGCTAGAACTGTCTGCTAGCATGTGAGTAGACCCCATCAAATCATGTATCTCAGACTTTTGTATTTTACAAATCCAACCAACGGACTATAAGATAGGCTACATAACGAATAAATTAAAAGGGCGTTTAACTTGGGTGCCTGATTTCTGATAATTTAAACTTCAAACGAATCCTACAAACTCTTAGTAACCTATTTTCCAGGAATTAGTTGGTCTGAAATTAGATGCTTGATGTTGTTGGCACCGCCAGTCAACAATATACATTTAAATACATTACCTATTGCAGTATTGCTGCATTAGCAGCCAAGTATACCCTAATGATAATGATAAAGAAGTACTGATTGTACATTTCTGAGAACCTACATATTTTAATGTCTTCTCAAAGACAGGATAATTTAACTGGATATTTTTGAGACCTCTCTTTAAAATGAAAGTTCCCAAAACGCATAACCAAGCTTTTAAGTAAACTAAACAGTTAAACATTTAAAATCACATTCATAAAAACATCAGCACATTCATTTCATCATTTTTATAACCCTTTAAATTACACGCGGCATCAAAATAAACAAAATATAATAATAATTAAAAATCTCAACGAACGATGTTTAACTAATAAAGCCCTCCAACAAAACCCTGTGTTGCTAAAAGCGGAGAGGCGGTCCACGTTTGTTTGACAAGTGTTGGCGCTCAGCCAATCAGATTGAAGATAATCCAACACGTGTCAGCGCTGAGCCAATCAGATTGAATATAAAACAAACTAATCAAGTACACAATCTGCAAACGGGCGCCAATCTACCGCTGGTAGCAACATCGTTATCATTCAATCTGCAAGAATCAGATCGGAATCATAATAATAATCGTTCACAACACAAACAATGAAACACTAATTAAACCTCGTGACTCTATCAGCGTGTCACGTGTCTGTAGGTGTGTATTTATCACGTGGCTATACTTTGACTGAGCCTTTGCGACCTGAAGTGGGAACGAGCGTTATTTGATATACAATTTCAAATGGGGGATTTTTTTTCAGGATGCTCTTTTTGGTCTAAGTAAAAAGAAAAACTATCACACAATTGTCCAATATACACTAGTGACGTCATGAAATATACACTAGTGACGTCATGAAACACTAGTGACGTCATGAAATATAAAGTACAGGTTGTCAGCAAAATTTCAAATTTATACTTTGATCAATTGAGTCCAATAAAGTCAGCAGCAACCCTGACCAAACCCGCAGGATCAGTTGTTCGGCTGTTTGTAAGTTTGTTTGTCAGTTTAAGTGTAATATCGTCTGTCTCACTATCTTTTGTACTGCGTTGTTTTATTTAAATTTGATTTTGTATTGACCATAGTATTTACCATGAAAAAATTCGATTCAAATAAAGATCAGCTAGTATGTCTATTGTCTGTTCACAAAACAATCAGAATTATTAGATAGAAAGAATAGAATGATTTGATTGATTAATTAAACTGATTAACAGGCTAATTGATGGTTAATTACCTAAGAGTTCCCGCCAGTAGTGGGTTCATGGCGTACAACCAGGCGTCGATGTCCTCACTTGAGCTACCTTGGAGATAATAAATATTCGCTCCCCTTACCAACCTGAGTTAATTTTATATAAGAGCAGAAGAAAGTATTTTAAGTAAGAAAGTATTTACATAGCAAAAACTCGGACCAAATCCGACGTAATAAAAAAAAGCTAAAACGCTCATCGCTAACAAAACTCAAAGTGGAAAAAACTGCGATTTGTAAAGAGCCCAAACCTAAAGACACCCAGTTTGAGGTCACTGTTGGGTTTGGTGAGGGAGATCCGGCAAGTTGAGAGGTTGAGAACCCACCGAGGACACGGGTCTTTGTCCGTGTTGTACAGTATCAAGAACGGGCGCTGTATGACCTGAGGGAAAGGAATTAGTACCTGACACCTGAATCAACTTCTTTTGAACAGCTCTGTTAAGTAGAAAGTAGAAAGCTACACAGTATCAAATAATTTATAGTCGCACAAAGATGACTCACACAAAAGCGTCTGTCCCAGGTTCTTGATTCCATGTTCATGAAGTGTAACCAGCCTCGTTTACTGATCTCGTTACTCAATCTAAACTCCAGCAGCTCCGGGGTCAGGAGCTCGTCCAGCTCTGCTTCTGTAGAGTCGTAGGAGCAGTTATCTTCCTCGTACATAGGGGCTGCTGGGAGGGACGTTGTTAACGGGAGTGTGTGACATTTTGAGGACATATTTGGGGAGGGAATACTGAATCCGTCTCAATAATCAATCTTGAAAGAAGAAGAATATCCTATTGCTCTAAATCAGAACACAGTTTCTTAGTGTATTATACCTGGAGGAGTACGCCGGGCTTCAGCCTCCAATTCTCGAGTAGCTAGGGTACTCAACAAACAGGGCCTCTTTAACCTCTCATAGCACCTGAATAAGAGGAAGGTTAGTGGGCTATTAGTTAACATCTGCTCTACATACCAATCTTACACTCCACCTTGATTCAGGTCAGCACCTGAAGTCATCTGCATACCTGGTAAGGAGCTGTTATCTGCATACCTGGTAAGGAGCTGTTATCTGCATACCTGGTAAGGAGCTGTGTTTGTCGCTCATTATATTCCACTTCATCTTCCACTTCTTTCTTCACTACCTCTCTCCTCTTCTTCTCCCTCCTTTCTCGCCTTCTCGTCCTCCCTGAAAAGATCTTGTTTGAAATTGAAAATAATACCAGATTCTGCTCACACCAATGTTATTAAGCATTGTTGATGTTCTTTGTATATCTATGTCAAAAAATCTGAAGCTCCGCTAACAGGAACTAATATTAAACCGTAATATCTTCCCAGTCTCACCTCCGCTGCTGCCCTCGCTGCTGGCCTTGTCCCGTATCTTGTCCGAGAGAGCCAGTGCCTGACGAGTGTCCTCTACAGTGGACAGGTAGGACAATCTCTCCAGAGACAGCTGGTTATCCGATATGAGATCCTCACCGTGCGCGCGCCACTCTCCTAGCACCTCCTCACCACGTACGTACGTGCTGGAAGTGTCCTGGAAATTAGGAGAGATTAGTAGGAGAGTTAATTAGAAGAGAAACTTTTTGAAAAATAAGGATTAAGAAAAAGGACAAACTATATGATCAGAGAAGTAACAACAGTTTGGAAATGTCACCAACCCATATGACGATAAAATTACAGAAATACCTGGAGAACCATAGGAGAAGAGTTTTCAGTAGCAATAGTCTTACAGAGCATCATCTCGTGCATGCAGAAACTAGCGTAGGAGTCTGCTGTGCGGAGAGTGGTTGCTGTGAACAGTTTCTTGAGGGATCTCAACATGGCACTGTCGTTACGACCCTGAGGGTTGGGGTTTTAAGTTCTAAGTTTTTTATTTCTTGTAAGTTAATGAGTGTGAACACCAAATTTGAACAAGCCTGAGCCCGCGGACATGGCCGCGCAGGGTGGTATGTTAGTTTCTGTATCATAGATCTTTAATAGGAGACGAATGAGCAACAGTTCAAGTATAAAGATTTTGTGAACATCATCAGATAACAATACAAATTAATAACATATAATCATTACTTGATTAATAACATATAATCATAACTTGTCTGCACGGATCCAGAAAGCCTCAGGAGCATTCAATCAGCTCGGTAATATTTGGAAGAATCGCAATATCCAAACTAACACCAAAATACGGATATATGTTGCAGCGGTTCTAACAATATTACTTTATGGAAGCGAAGTCTGGAACACTACTTCAAAGCAACTACATCGCTTCGAAGTTTTTCATCAAAACTGTTTGAGGAGAATCCTTCGAATTAAGTGGTTCCACCGGACGAGCAATGTTCAAGTGTTGGAGCGGGCAAGAATAAACCCGGTTATAACCTACATCAGTGCCAACCGTCTTCGCTGGTTTGGACATGTTTCTGCCGTGAATGCCGGACACCAGGCTACCAAAGTATCTATTTGACTGGACACCTGCTCACGGTTGAAGATCACGTGGGCGGCCAAGAAAGAATTGGCGAACCTGTGTCCTAGAAGACGCAGTAACATTTACAGGAGATCCAGACATTGTATTTGATAAGGTCCGAGAGTTGGCAGGAAACCGAAAGCACTGGAGAGAGATGATACGACATAAGCGGCAATTCCTTGGAGCAGGCCACTCGAATGATTGAGGAGACCTTATCAAGTATCAAGTAAGTAATCATTACTTAATCAAGTCATCAGAAACATTTAACAACGTAAGGGTTATAGAAAATGTAATCTGAGTATTGTCATACAAGTTTTACATAATGAAATGATTATTTTCCTAACGGCTTAAACTTGAAAGTCCTCCAAATCAGAGACACAATGATAAAATTAAAAGAACAGACTTTTTCCTAATATCAACACAAACTTAAATACTGACAAAAATGTATTTTTTTAACTGTCACAAAAAGTCCCCTTTTTTCTCCCCGAGTATTTTTATGATCCGAGTACTTGTAACTAAAACTATTCCCACATTACTACTCGTTAATGTCTGTGATTTCCTGGTTGTCATATCGGCAGCAAGCAAATACACGGCTGATGTACTGCCTATACTGCTCCCTCAGCTCCTGTTTTCTACAGATAATAATAACTGGATAGAAGGCTGCGTAGACCAAGGGCAAGCTGAACTCGGACAATCCTACAAATATACCCAAACCAATGTAACTTTTATCCGGTAACCCGGTTTGATAAAAAATGTTCCATAACTTCAACACATTCCAAATGAGCACCATTATTAAAAAAACAAAATGGCAAATGAAGAAAAGGACTGATAGCATCAGGATGGTTATCGATACATGGCGACCTGTATCTGGCATTTTAGATGAATCCTCCTGTCCGTGGAGGGATTGTCGCACGTACTTCATCTGGATGATCATGCATACCAGGACGATAATCGGTGGAGCTACAAGAAATATAACACCACCGGGTATCAAGACGTTGTAGTTCCCTGTGATCAGATATGCTGTAGGTCCTGCTGGTATTTCAAACATTGTAATCAAATCAGTGTAAGCATTATTATCAAAAACAGTTTCTTGAGTGAATGCTGGAAGCTTCACCGATGCTACAACAGTGTCAGAAATGTGAAGCAAGATTATAACCAAGCACAAGATCGTGACTATTTTGCGTAATCGTGAAGTGTTGATGATATGAAAGGAGTTCCTTATTTTAACAGTAAGAATTACAGTCAGGACCATATTAAAAAGCTTGGCGCAATTATATCCGGGAAGTGCTGTAACCATGTAGTATGAGAGGCTTTTGTAGAGTGTTTCTGCGTTTACCAGCTTGTAATGGATTAGAATACTAATGACGGATAGCACAAGATCTCCCTGTGCTTTAACAATATCCCCCATTGCAATCCCCATAAAGAGACACGGCACAATCTTAGCTTTGTCCTTGTAATAGCTGATGATGATCACACTGTTTTGCACAAGGACAGCGAGACACAGAGGAATGGTGAGCGGGGCTAACTTGTAGAATGCTCCTTGGAAAACAAGTTCTGTTTCTCTATAATATATGGCTATATCTGACATATTATGATTGTCATCTCTCACGTTGGATAGATTCATATTCAAACTTTACTTCCTTGCTGTACGAACTATTGGGATAGACAAGGATAACTTAAATTAACATCAAATTAGGAGTAATTGAAGAACCTACAGTGAAGGTACTCCAATTATGGATATTCCGGTATAAAACTAATACTAAAGGTATCAAGAAACTATGACGAAAACAGCAAAAAAGTAAGTTATAGAATCAAATTAGATCTAAAGATAGCGTTCCTTACAGAGGATGAGATGAGCACAATGCAAAGAAACTGTAGCAACATTGATACGGAGTCTATACTCAAAGCTGATTGGTTAGAGTCACTGTCACGCGTCAGGAAAAGTAAACCTCCACCTTCTAGAACTCTAGTGCTATCATTGTTATACTTCCTTCTCGTCACATTATACCCTTTCTACTTTAACTAGCTCAGACCTCGGTATTTACTCAATTCTCACATTGTCTAACTCTATAACTACTGGTTCGAAGTTCTTCAGAAACATGTTTATCATATCTCTTGCTATGCCAAGTTAATATAATATAAGGTTATACAATATACATGTTATTATTAGCTATAATGTTGTATTAATAAAGTAAAAAACAAGGATCAGTCGTGACATCAGGATGGGCTTGCTTCCGCGGGGATCTTGTAGTATTCGTTGTCCCAGTGTGTGTTATAATCTTGTACGGCTCTCAGAAGCTCAGATATGGTCAATGGCCATACATTTTACTGCCATGAACTATCACGCATCCCAAATCCCAATTCTAATCCACGAATGTTTCTTTTTCCCTTACAAATCGGGAAAATTGTTGTTCCGGAGCGGTACCCTTTCAAGAACATTACGCTCACTCGTCAAAACGTGTCCATCACATGAAACTGGAACAACAACAACAACAACCTGGATGTTAAGACAAATATCCTTGTTGAAATTCCTCCTACCTGGATGTTAAGACAAATATCCTTGTTGAAATTCCTCCTACCTGGATGTTAAGACAAATATCCTTGTTGAAATTCCTCCTACCTGGATGTTAAGACAAATATCCTTGTTGAAATTCCTCCTACCTGGATGTTAAGACAAATATCCTTGTTGAAATTCCTCCTACCTGGATGTTAAGACAAATATCCTTGTTGAAATTCCTCCTACCTGGATGTTAAGACAGATATCCTTGTTGAAATTCCTCCTACCTGGATGTTAAGACAAATATCCTTGTTGAAATTCCTCCTACCTGGATGTTAAGACAAATATCCTTGTTGAAATTCCTCCTACCTGGATGTTAAGACAAATATCCTTGTTGAAATTCCTCCTACCTGGATGTTAAGACAAATATCCTTGTTGAAATTCCTCCTACCTGGATGTTAAGACAAATATCCTTGTTGAAATTCCTCCTACCTGTGTTAAGACAAATATCCTTATTCCTCCTACCTGGATGTTAAGACAAATATCCTTGTTGAAATTCCTCCTACCTGGATGTTAAGACAAATATCCTTGTTGAAATTCCTCCTACCTGGATGTTTAGACAAATATCCTTGTTGAAATTCCTCCTACCTGGATGTTAAGACAAATATCCTTGTTGAAATTCCTCCTACCTGGATGTTAAGACAAATATCCTTGTTGAAATTCCTCCTACCTGGATGTTAAGACAGATATCCTTGTTGAAATTCCTCCTACCTGGATGTTAAGACAGATATCCTTGTTGAAATTCCTCCTACCTGGATGTTAAGACAAATATCCTTGTTGAAATTCCTCCTACCTGTATGTTAAGACAAATATCCTTGTTGAAATTCCTCCTACCTGGATGTTAAGACAAATATCCTTGTTGAAATTCCTCCTACCTGGATGTTAAGACAAATATCCTTGTTGAAATTCCTCCTACCTGGATGTTAAGACAAATATCCTTGTTGAAATTCCTCCTACCTGGATGTTAAGACAAATATCCTTGTTGAAATGCCTCCTACCTGGATGTTAAGACAAATATCCTCGTTGAAATTCCTCCTACCTGGATGTTAAGACATATATCCTTGTTGAAATTCCTCCTACCTGGATGTTAAGACAAATATCCTTGTTGAAATTCCTCCTACCTGGATGTTAAGACAAATATCCTTGTTGAAATTCCTCCTACCTGGATGTTAAGACAAATATCCTTGTTGAAATTCCTCCTACCTGGATGTTAAGACAAATATCCTTGTTGAAATTCCTCCTACCTGGATGTTAAGACAGATATCCTTGTTGAAATTCCTCCTACCTGGATGTTAAGACAGATATCCTTGTTGAAATTCCTCCTACCTGGATGTTAAGACAGATATCCTTGTTGAAATTCCTCCTACCTGGATGTTAAGACAAATATCCTTGTTGAAATTCCTCCTACCTGGATGTTAAGACAAATATCCTTGTTGAAATTCATCCTACCTGGATGTTAAGACAGATATCCTTGTTGAAATTCCTCCTACCTGGATGTTAAGACAGATATCCTTGTTGAAATTCCTCCTACCTGGATGTTAAGACAAATATCCTTGTTGAAATTCCTCCTACCTGGATGTTAAGACAAATATCCTTGTTGAAATTCCTCCTACCTGGATGTTAAGACAAATATCCTTGTTGAAATTCCTCCTACCTGGATGTTAAGACAAATATCCTTGTTGAAATTCCTCTTACCTGGATGTTAAGACAGATATCCTTGTTGAAATTCCTCTTACCTGGATGTTAAGACAGATATCCTTGTTGAAATTCCTCTTACCTGGATGTTAAGACAGATATCCTTGTTGAAATTCCTCTTACCTGGATGTTAAGACAGATATCCTTGTTGAAATTCCTCCTACTTGGATGTTAAGACAAATATCCTTGTTGAAATTCCTCCTACTTGGATGTTAAGACAAATATCCTTGTTGAAATTCCTCTTACCTGGATGTTAAGACAGATATCCTTGTTAATAACCACAGGTTGAATACACTGCTCCATCTCCAAGTACACTGATATACTGATAAACACGTGTTCGTTAGCTGGTGTGGGTCTGTTCAGCAGTTTGGAGTCGTGCAGGGACGTGTCCCAGTTACCCTCGCAAATATACGTGCATCTCATTACTCCCTGACAGGGAAACACGTGGTTAAGAAACACGTGGTTAAGAAACACGTGGTTAAGAAACACGTGGTTAAGAAACACGTGGTTAAGAAACACGTGGTTAAGAAACACGTGGTTAAGAACACGTGGTTAAGACACGTGGTTAAGACACGTGGTTAAGACACGTGGTTGATTTAACACGTGGTAAACCATAGAGAAAGGAACCGTAACCAAATATTTTACAATTTGCGGCCTTAGGTTTCGATTTTTCAATTTAATGTTCAATAAATTGCGGAGAGAACTAGTTTGAATATCTCACCTGATCCCTGATGACAGAAGGCTGGAACATCGTCAAACTGATAACATCGTTATCACAATCATCCAGATCGTCACAGTCGTCCCAATCTAACTCCTGTCTAACGTGACCAACCACCATTTCCCTGAGATAATTCACTGAACTTAGAGGAAATTTAAACCTTTCTGGACATGGAAGTGGGCTAGCTCACAACTTGTACATTTCTTATCAGTAGAGAGTTGTTTACAAGTTCTATAAACCCTCGGCTTTGTTAGAAACGAATTAAAAGCCTAGAGGAGATAATCTGAATATTCCATTACCTGACCCCAGCCCATCTGAGGTAGTCTGCTAAAATTAAAAATTACCAAAATTATGTACTTTTATATCAGTTCAGACATTATAGACAAATATCAGGAATATTATCAAAAGCTAGGTCTTTAGGGCATTAAAAAAAAATTCTACCGACGATAATGATCTCACTGAGTAGGGTAGTTCATTCCAAATTTTCGGTCCACAAAACATAAATGCTGTTTGTCTGAAATGAGAAGCAGGAGGAACTTTCAACAAATAAAAGTCATAATCTGAATATTCCATTACCTGACCCCAGCCCATCTGAGGTAGTCTGGTCTGTCCTCGTAAGATACGCTTACTACAATCCTCCTCTGTATACCTTGTTGTAACAGATGCATTGCACCTGAGAGATAGCATGTTATCTACCTGCTAAATATTACAATCCAAGGTTGTTATACTTGCGACTCTGATACTCTTAGGTATAATGTTAAGATCTCTAATCAAAAAATTATAATATCACAAAAAGCGATGACGTCAAGTGAAAGTGATGTCGTCACGTGAAAAAGATAACGTCACAAAATGACATAAACCTGTTGGTATATTGTCTCTGTGGATGACCGGAACAGGCACATACTCCCCAGTAGGACTAAGCTCACATATCTGTACATGAGTGAGCAGGCTGTAACTCTGTGTAACTTCAGCTGAAGGGGGCTGCACAAGACTCCTCACTGGGCGAGGTACCTCGGACTCCACTGGCTGCTGCTTGGACTCTACCTTCTTACCTTGCAGGTGACCGAACACCTCGAACATCAGTGGGGTTGATCTGGGGTGTGGTGGTGTTAAGGTGGTGGTGTAATCGTGGTACGGGACAGTGTGTCCCACATGAGACAGTAGATTTGTAATCTCTACACCCATTAGGAATTGACATCGTACCAGTTATTCAATACTTACATATCGTACTGCTTTAATTCTGGCTAACTCTGCAGTCTGCATACTCTAACTCTGCATACTCTAACTCTGCATACTCTAACTCTGCATACTAGCATACTCCAACTCTGCATACTAACTCTGCATACTAAATCTGCATACTCTAACTCTGCATACTCTAACTCTGCATACTCTAACTCTGCATACTCTAAATCAGCATACTCTAACTCTGCATACTCTAACTCTGCATACTCTAACTCTGCATACTCTAACTCTGCATACTCTAACTCTGCATACTCTAACTCTGCATACTCTAACTCTGCATACTCTAACTCTGCATACTCTAACTCTGCATACTCTAACTCTGCATACTCTAAATCTGCATACACTAACTCTGCATACTAAATCTGCATTCTCTAAATCTGCATACTCTAACTCGAACAAAACAGTAGCGAACTAATAACAAAGCATATTACATTTTGAAAACACGTACTAAAACGAAAATCTATAAAAACATTATAGATAAAAAATGAATTAAGTCCAACCTTATATAATCAATAAAGGGTTTGTTTATCACGACACTGATAGCCTGTACGTGATAAAATCCAAGAGATTTCTCTGTCATGTTCCGATGAGGTTCCGTGGCAAATGCGTCCCCGTCTTTGTTTAGAAATCTAGATTATAAACGAATTCTTTATTCTTTATTCAAGTCTAACAGAAAGTGAAAAAATTGTTTTTCCATATTTTGTGGATTTCTTGCTCGTATTTTCTTTCTTTAAAAAAATTACTCGTGAATTTGCAAACTCTACAAACAGTTGCCCCCCCCCCCCCCCCTACAAACATAACTAAAAATAAAGGACGTAGTAAGAAACCTGAACTGTACGAACGCCTCCACATAATCAGAAGATAGGTGTGACAACTGCATTACAGTGATGATGAAGGTCAGCTTCGTCCCTACTTTCAGGATACCACAGTTGTTCTCGTTTACTCCCTCTGTTTCTGACGTATCTCCAACTGGGAGGACGAGGTGAGTTGTAAAATGAGATGTAATATTCCACTATATGAGATTGAAATCATATAGTTGAATCGCAAATTATCTTACGACAATATGAAGAGGAAAAGGGGATTTTTACATGGTCAGTTGCTTTTTGCGAATTTTAATTGCACTGTTCTTATTTACCAAGAGACAGTGGGTATTGATCCATAACTATATAACATGACACATATGTGGTACATCTAATAGCAAACAAGATATAAAAACACAAATTTCTAACGACACGGTCTAAAAATAAGACCAAACACGGTCCAACATGACCCTTACTTTTGTTGGTATCCTGAGAGCCATCCTCGCTGCTGCTGTTGGACTTGTTGCACCCAACTCTCCGGAGATCACCAGCACTGAACACACTGCTAGCCAGAGTGGAGATGGAGATAGCGCTGGACAGGTTCTGAGGGGGAGATGTTACTTGGGATATTATCTGATTGTTAACATTGGTTAAATATTGGAGATGTTACTTGGGATGTTATCTGATTGTTAACATTGGTTAAATATTGGGAGCTGGAGATGTTACTTGGGATGTTATCTGATTGTTAACATTGGTTAAATATTGGGAAATGTTACTTGGGATGTTATCTGATTGTTAACATTGGTTAAATATTGGGAGATGTTACTTGGGATGTTATCTGATTGTTAACTTGGTCAATTTTCTTTACTTTTCTTGGATTATTTCATTGGATTTAGACAAATTGAAGTAATATTTGACTAAAATAATTTTCGTAAAATAAGTGAATGTCAAAATATCATACGTAAATCAAAATCTTATGTAAAGTGAAGAACCCAGTCGTTGTAGATTATTTGCAGATGGTTATCATAGCGGATCCATTTAAAGGCACGGGGTTCAGCGCTTATCACCACAACCAATATTCACTGATCTATCCAACACAATGGACATAAAACTACCCTATACATGCATACAACAAATGAACCTGGTATAAGTTCTTGAATTGTTACATTAAAATTCCATGATCCAGGAACCTTTTCAATATCAACAGTGTTCGTTCAAAATCCATAACCGAAGTCCTAACTGGAGAGGGGATGATATGTTGTAGAGTATGTAAGTGAGACAGTGGGAGGAGGTGTGAAGACAGACTCACCAGGTGAGAAGGTGAGAGGAGCAGGGTGAGACATGTGAGGTTCTGGTTGACAACTGGAGAAGGAACTGGGAGGTAAGCTGGGAATGAATACAATGGGGTCAGCAAAGTTCAGAGGCTTTACAAATGTTAGAGGTTTTACGAAAGGTATTGGTTTAACGAAAATGGGTCCTCCAATGCTACCGTTTTGGATGGAATCATCTCCGGTATGAGTCCTCTGATGAACTATAAGCTGAGATTTTTGAACCGAACTGTAGGGACATTCAGAACATTTGAACGGTTTTACTCCGGTATGAGTTCGCTGATGAACTATAAGCTGAGATTTTTGAACCGAACTGTAGGGACATTCAGAACATTTGAACGGTTTTACTCCGGTATGAGTCCTCTGATGAACTATAAGCTGAGATTTTTGAACCGAACTGTAGGGACATTCAGAACATTTGAACGGTTTTACTCCGGTATGAGTCCTCTGATGAACTATAAGGTGAGATTTTTGAACCGAACTGTAGGGACATTCAGAACATTTGAACGGTTTTACTCCGGTATGAGTCCTCTGATGAACTATAAGGTGAGATTTTTTAACCGAACTGTAGGGACATTCAGAACATTTGAACGGTTTTACTCCGGTATGAGTTCGCTGATGTGAAGTTAAAGATGATCTTCGGTTTGTACTGAAGGAACATTCAGAACATTTGAACGGCTTTTCTCCGGTATGAGTCCTCTGATGAACTATAAGCTGAGATTTTTGAACCGAACTGTAGGGACATTCAGAACATTTGAACGGTTTTACTCCGGTATGAGTTCGCTGATGTGAAGTTAAAGATGATCTTCGGTTTGTACTGTAGGAACATTCAGAGCATTGATGACGTTTTTTATCGCTATGAGTCTGCTGATTGCAAAGTAAATGTGATTTTTGGCTGGCACAATAAAAACACTCAGAACATTTAAATGGTTTTTCGCCGGTATGAGTTCGGTGATGGCAAACTAAGCATGATTTTTGGCTTGCACTGAAGGAACATTCAGAACATTTATAAAGTTTTTCACCGGTATGAGTGAGCTGATGGCGAAATAATTGTGATTTTCTTCTTGTTTCTACAAAACAAACAGAACACTGGAACAGTTTTTGCTGATCGGAAGGTAATGACGATTGTTTTTTGTCACTGTAAGAAGAATCATAGCCTGACGATTTTAATTTCATCCATTCTGTTTCGTCAACAAAAGTTTGGCAAAATTCGGCATCAGCACTGTTTTGTGGAGCTGTTCGGCCTTGATCTGTGTCTCCAGCTATCGTAGAATCATAATGTAGACGATTTTCTGTTGATGATTCTTGGATGAGATACTGCATCTGAGAAGCAGGAATCGAATACTTCTCTGATTTGATAAGAAAACCTTCTTCCTCCTCCTTAATCTCTATCTTAATCAATTCTGGTGGAAAAGACTCTTCCATTTTCATCTCTTACATTTTCATCACTAGAAATAAAATAAATTAATACTTTCAACACGACTATAAAACAAATAATTTGATCAAACGATGTAACTGAGTCAATATATTTTAATGTTGCTATGGGGTGGCAAGTCCCATACATCGTAGTCCGATAGTTTCACTGCGTCATAGTATAAGTGTAAGATATCGTCTCTTCCAATCGAATAAAGCTCAGGGTTAATTTGGAAATCTGTGGTTGCAGAATTATAATACTAAGTTCGTCAAGTTAGAGATACATAGGTATTGAAGAAGAAACAATAATCCCCAAAAATACGTATCAATAGCTAAATTATAAGACTTTATTAGACCTTTTACATCAGTGTTATGCTTTGATAATTTAAATTGAGCTAGAGACTTCTTCCACTTCGCTCATAACCACTGTACTGACTGGAGATATGAGAGGGGGGAGGATTTGTTGTAGAGTAGGTATGTGAGACAGTGGGAGGAGGTGTGAAGACAGACTCACCAGGTGAGAAGGTGAGAGGAGCAGGGTGAGACATTTGAGATGCTGGTTGATAACTGAAGGAGGAACTGGGAGGTAAGCTGGGAATGGATACAATGGAGTCAGCAAAGTTCAGAGGCTTTACAAATGTTACACGTTTCACGAAAGGTATCGGTTTAACGAAAATGGGTCCTCCAATGCTACCGTTTTGGATGGAATTCAAAGCCTGACTGCTATCATGAAAAGTATGTGAGTTCTCTTCAATATCGCTCCACTGATAGGGAACGAATGTTGAATCATAACTAGCGTTATTTAAACATTCTGGAGATTGAAAGGGCATTTTACTGGCATGTTTCCTTCGATGGTTAATTATGGCTTTTATTTTGCATGCACTGTAGGAGCATTCAGAGCATTTGAACGCTTTTTCACCGGTATGAGTGCTCTGATGAGCTATAAAGTGAGATTTTTTAATCGAACTGTAGGGACATTCAGAACATTTGAACGGTTTTTCTCCAGTATGAATCCTCTGATGAACTATAAGGTGAGATTTTTGAACCGAACTGTAGGGACATTCAGAACATTTGAACGGTTTTACTCCGGTATGAGTCCGTTGGTGGACAACTAAGTATGCTTTTTGGCTTGCACTGTAGGAGCATTCAGAGCATTTGTGCGGTTTTTCACCGGTATGAGTTCGCTGATGTAAAGTTAAAGATGATCTTCGGCTTGCACTGTAGGGACATTCAGAACATTTGAACGGCTTTTCTCCGGTATGAGTTCGCTGATGTGAAGTTAAAGATGTTCTTCGGTTTGTACTGAAGGAACATTCAGAACATTTGAACGGCTTTTCTCCGGTATGAGTCCTCTGATGAACTATAAGCTGAGATTTTTGAACCGAACTGTAGGAACATTCAGAACATTTGAACGGTTTTTCTCCGGTATGAATCCTCTGATGAACTATAAGGTGAGATTTTTTAACCGAACTGTAGGGACATTCAGAACATTTGAACAGTTTTACTCCGGTATGAGTTCGCTGATGTGAAGTTAAAGATGATCTTCGGTTTGTACTGTAGGAACATTCAGAGCATTGATGACGTTTTTTATCGCTATGAGTCTGCTGATGGCAAAGTAAATGTGATTTTCGACTGGCACAATAAGAACACTCAGAACATTTAAATGGTTTTAAACCGGTATGAGTTCGGTGATGGCAAACTAAGCATGATTTTCGGCTTGCACTGAAGGAACATTCAGAACATTTATAAAGTTTTTCACCGGTATGAGGGAGCTGATGGCGAAATAAGTGTGATTTTCTTCTTGTTTTGTAGAGACAAACAGAACACTGAAACAGCTTTTGCTGATCGGAAGGTAATGACGATTGTTTGTTGTCACTGTAAGAAGAATCATAGCCTGACGATTTTAATTTCATCCATTCTGTTTCGTCAACAAAAGTTTGGCAAAATTCGGCATCAGCACTGTTTTGTGGAGTTGTTCGGCCTTGATCTGTGTCTCCAGCTATCGTAGGATCATAATGTAGACGATTTTCTGTTGATGATTCTTGGATGAGATACTGCATCTGTGAATCAGGAATCGAATACGTCTCTGATTTGATAAGAAAGCCATCTTCCTCCTCCTTAAGTCCTTAATCTCTATCTTAATCAATTCTGGTGGAAAAGACTCTTCCATTTTCATCTCTTCCATTTTCATCACTAGAAATAAAATGTGAGCAAACGATGTAACTCAGTCAATATATTTTAATGTTGCCATGGGGTGGCAAGTCCCATACATCGTAGTCCGATAGTTTCACTGCGTCATAGTATAAGTGTAAGATATCGTCTCTTCAAATCGAATAAAGCTCCGGGTTAATTTGGAAAGCTGTGGTTGCAGAATTATAATACTAAGTTCGTCAAGTTAGAGATACATAGGTATTGAAGAAGAAACAATAATCCCCAAAAATACGTATCAATAGCAAAATTATAAGACTTTATTGGACCTTTTACGTCAGTGTTATGCTTTGATAATTTAAATTGAGCTAGAGACTTCTTCCAGTACCGGTATAAGATATTGCATGTATTTTGATAGCAATAAAGTTTAATTATCTACGCTCATAACCACTGTACTGACTGGAGATATGAGAGGGGGAGGATATGTTATAGAGTAGGTAGGTGAGACAGAGGGAGGAGGTGTGAAGACAGACTCACCAGACACCAGGTGAGAAGGTGAGAGGAGCTGCAAAGTGAGACATGTGAGGTTCTGGTTGATAACTGAAGAAGGAACTGGGAGGTAAGCTGGAACCATAGAGAAGGGAATTAGCTAAGGTCAGGGGCTCGATTCAGTAGCAAACAACTCTATACAGTAAAGTGCACACTGAACATCTCCCTACTAAATGGAGTAAAAAGGGGAAAAATTAAGCGGTCAAACACGTCTACAGAACCTACACGCACTTCCGCGTCCGTTTAAATTATAGTTTCTCGTACAAACGATAGTCAAAAGTTAAACAATAAACTCAGTAATTCGATTCCTGATATCACCCTGGCTAATGAGAAAAGTATCCTCGATCTCGTACACCATAACATTTCCGTAGAAATACGAGATCAATAACAATAATTCCCTTCACCCGATCATGTAATAACTGCAAAGGAATGCTGGGGAGCAGTGTTGTGATTAGATTCCTCGACCTCGTACATTATAAGACCTCGTACTGATATGTATTTCACTCTAACTGGCAGAAAGACCGGAGAGGTGTTCTAGCAAAACTTTAAGAAAATTTTGAGACTGTCGCCCATAGTTTATTCTCAGAATTGTAAAAGTTTCGCCCACTGAAATATCATTAATAACGTATCATTTCGACATATGACATGAGGATTGAGGAGGCGTGTGTTATGTGTACCTTCTGTAGAAATCTAATTACTCAAATGTGTGTTTGGTGTTTGTTGTTGGTGAAGTTCTCGCCCGGACTACGAAAATGTAAGTTAAACTTTCTCCGTGACCATTTATTTACACAGTGACCATTGATCAAGTTGAGTAAGTTACGTCTAATTAAATTGTGTAGCTATTGTGTAATTTATACACAACGCGTCGCGTAATCGAATATGAGATGGAGTCTTCGTTCTAGCTTTCTGAGTATGTCATGCGGTCGTCATTCTAGTATAGTTCTAGTATAACTAGAGGGAGGGAGGTCGAGGGGGTCTAAAATTGCCAAAAAATGGCTTTTGTAATATTATGATTCCTAACTAAATTTCACTAAATTACCGAGTCGGTTATTTCAGTTATCAATGACCTATTTAACTCGATTCAGTAGCAAACAAATCTATACAGCAAAGTGCACACTGAACAATGAACATCTCCCTACCAATGGAGTAAAAAGGGAGAAAAAAAAGCGGTCAAACACGTCTACAGAACCTACAAGCACTTCCGTTTAAATTATAGTTTCTCGTACAAACGATAGTCAAAAGTAAAACAATAAACTCAGTAACTCGCTTCCTAATATCACCCTGGCAAGTGAGTAAAGTATCCTCGATTTCGTACATCATAACATTTCCGTAGAAATACGAGATCAATAACAATAATCCCCTTCACCCGATCATGTAATAACTGCAAAGGAATGCTGGGGAGCAGTGTTGTGATTAGATTCCTCGACCTCGTACATTATAAGACCTCGTACTGATATGTATTTCACCGGAGAGGTGTTCTAGCAAAACTTTAAGAAAATTTTGAGACTGTCGCCCATAGTTTATTCTCAGAATTGTAAAAGTTTCGCCCACTGAAATATCATTAATAACTTATCATTTCGACATATTATGACATGAGGATTGAGGAGGTGTGTGTTATGTATACCTACTGTAGAAATCTAATTACTCGAATGTGTGTTTGGTGTTTGTTATTGGTGAAGTTCTCGCCCGGACTACGAAAATGTAAGTTAAAGGATGACGTAATATTAATTTGTACTATGTATCTAAGGCATGCTTGTATTGCGCTATCTCATATGTAATTGCTCTGTGAAAGTTTGGAATCCCCATCTACTTCCTACGCCACGATACAGCTAAATTAAGAAAGTGATGCGTCACGTAGAACGTTCCTATGCTCAAAGGGACTGCCCTCTCAGTACTGTGTAAACACACTATTTAGCTGACGTAATCGTCCAAGTAGTTCGATTTTTATACGGTTTGCTTCGGCTTTCGGATTGATTTTTGTTTGACACTTACTATTTATCGAAAGAAACAATGGAAATTGCACGTTTTTTTGTATAAATAAGCATGTGAGTATACATAAATCAGTCTAGTCCTATGATTTCATTCTAGACTTCCTTTCTCTTATCATGGTAACTTTGTCAGGAAGCTCGGTAGTCGGTTCCATGGAAGGTTTTAGGCACTTCTTTTTTGACATATCGAGTTTGGGAAAAGTCACATTTTACCAATATTGCAAAATGAAGAGTTTCATGACATGAGCTTAGATCCACAGTTGGCTGTTAGCGACCATGAAAGCGATGAAGAGCTAAGCATCGTAGGTTTCAACGAATATGACACGGATGATGATGAAATGGGTGCGGTGAACAAAGAAGCTAAGCCTTTACGAAGATTGAAGCAAGACCCAAGGGAGTGGTGCACTTGCGAAAACTGCTCCGTCATGGAATCGGAAATGGAGAGCTACTGTTGCAGGGAAAGCACACTGATTGCTGACACAGTTATAGGGCTATCAGAGAAAACCTGCGTTACTCTGGTTAAAATTTTTAGGAAAACGATTGAAGACGAGGATATCTTGAAACTTCAAGCAACTAGTCTACAAGATGTCAAGAGGAACGTTGACGGCACCATTCGGCCCGAGGGTTTACGATACACTGCCTACACAACCTTCTTACAAATGTGCTCTTTGAGGTTTTGTGGCAAGGGGAGGAGATATGTTTTGCCATCATGTGTAGTGAAACGAATCAGAAATCTCTACCCATCCCCAGCCGGAAAATACAAAGACTTCTTACCGGGAGCAATTAACTCGCGGATTTAGAGCGTTTTAATGGATGTTTTATGGTTTTAAAGTCTGTTTTATGTCAAATACCGATGTAAAACTTTCTCATACCATTATGTTCAATAATAATTGAAAAATGGTTACTCCTCCCCCTCCTCCTCCTCCCCCTCCTCCTTATCCTCCTCCCCCTCTTCTTCCTCCCCTCCCCCCTTCTCTTCATCCTCCTCCTCAGTCCTCTTCCTCCTCCTCCTCAGCAGTCCTCCTTCTCCTCATTCCTCCTCCGCCTCCTTCTCCTTAGTCCTCCTTCTCCTCAGTCCTCCTCCTCAGCAGTCCTCAGTCCTCCTCATCCTCCTCCTCCTCCTCCTCCTCCTCCTCCTCCTCCTCCTCCTCATCAGTCCTCCTCCTCCTCAGCAGTCCTCAGTCCTCCTTCTCCTCAGTCCTCCTTCTCCTCCTCCTCCTCTACTCCTCCTCATCCTCATCAGTCCTCTTCCTCCTCCTCTACTCCTCCTCCTCCTCCTCCTCCTCATCAGTCATCCTCCTCCTCTTCCTAAGTCCTCCTCTACTCCTCCTCCTCCTCCTCCTCAGTAGTCCTCAGTCCTCATTCATCCTCTACTCCTCCTCCTCCTCCTCTTCCTCCTCCTCATCCTCCTCCTCCTCCTCCTTCTCCTCCTCCTCCTCCTCCTCCTCCTCCTCCTCCTCCTCCTCCTCCTCCTCCTCCTCCTCCTCCTCCTCCTCCTCATCAGCCCTCCTCCTCCCCGGTACTCATCCTCCTCTTCAGCTCCTACTCAGACCTCCTCCTCCTCCTCATCTTCCTCCTCATTAGTCCTCCTCCTCATCAGTCCTCCGAGTCCTCCTGAGTCCTCTCGAGTCCTCCTCCTGAGTCCTCCTCCATCCCCAGCCGGAAAATACAAAGACTTCTTACCGGGAGCAATTTACTCGCGGATTTAGAGCGTTTTAATGGATGTTTTATGGTTTTAAAGTCTGTTTTTTGTCAAATACCGATGTAAAACTTTTCATACAACTGTTCAATAATAATTTAACGATCCAAAAATTACAAAATGAAATATAGAGCCTTCTAACGAACGGAAAAAAGAAGACAAACATCACATAAACACTGTACTGAGAGGGAACAACATTCCAAACTAGGAACATTCTGCGTGCAGCGAGAAATTTAGTGTGCGTGATATCTCCATTTGTGTGTAAGCTACAAATTCCGTTCTTTGATCATATTAGAGTATGCGAGGCCTAGGTTAATGTAACATGTACAAAAAATACTTTGCCAAAAGTGAAAAACTCCATTACGTCACTTTCTCCGCGATATCAAGTACGTTTAATAATATTTGCAGCATTACTTACTTCCTCAGTTCCGGACTCCCTAAACTCAACAGGAGAAGGGGTAGAACTGCTTCTTTTCTCCTCCTGCATCACCTGGATTGCCACCTTTAGGTACCCCCGGATACAGGCTAGCCTGTCCAGCACCTTTACTGAGTGCACCATCGGAATACCTGGAAAGAGGTGTTGTAGAGGTGGTGTAGGGTATTAACTATTAATCAATTGAAGAGTGTTTGTGCAGTATCTGTGAAATTGGACTTATTGTGAAAACAATGGAATGATATGACTATTATACGAGATATCCTGAATAACCATGGCACAAATAATAAATATCCCAAATTACAACGATAGATTTTATGTACCCTTAAACCACCTTGCAAAACTAGTTCACAAACAATTCCATCCCCAACCTTATTTTTAAATACCCGTGGTGGATTTTGCTAAACAATGCTAACCGTAAAGAAGGTTGTTCAGAGAAACACTCGCCCTTCCAACTTGATTAAACCACGGTAACCGCTCGTGAAATGGGTCTTTAGACACAGGTACAGGGTTATGCGGAGGGTTGGATAGCATCTCCCTCATCTCCTCTAACCTTCTCCGGAACTTGTCCAGCCCCCAGTGGGTTACAACTCCGGTACGGTTATCTGTTACTTCAACTACCAGACATGATCCTTTGTATTCTGGGTACCTGGGAGGGAGGGGTGTTTATCTGTTACTTCAACTACCAGACATGATCCTTTGTATTCTGGGTACCTGGGAGGGAGGGGTGTTTATCTGTTACTTCAACTACCAGACATGATCCTTTGTATTCTGGGTACCTGGGAGGGAGGGGTGTTTATCTGTTACTTCAACTACCAGACATGATCCTTTGTATTCTGGGTACCTGGGAGGGAGGGGTGTTTATCTGTTACTTCAACTACCAGACATGATCCTTTGTATTCTGGGTATCTGGGAGGGATGGGTATTTATATGTTTGCTGTGGAGCTTGGCCACCTTATCTATTGATTGAAGGGCCGATACAACAATTTAAATTTTACAAACATTTCACTTTTCTACAAAAACCTCCGAAGTTTACCTTGAGTTAGAGTTAGTATTGCATCGTGGAGAATCAACACTCTTGTTCAGACTTGAGCCAGATTTACGAACTGAAATCAGGCAACGTAATGTAACGTCAGTAAATATTAAAACAGCCAATGAATCGCAGTTATATGGCTGTTTTGGGAGTTCTCGCTGTCATCATAAATACTGACAATATTGTCATTGTTAATAAAAGTTCAACCCCTATAAATGTTTTTACCCCGTACAGAGTACACTGGTTACGCTAAAAAGCAGAACAGGGAATTCAGGTTTTAAGCAGATCATTAGAAACGTATAAAAATTACCTAGCCCAGGACTACTTGAGCGGCTGTTCTTTATGGGCGATGCCAGGTTTGCTAAAGATAGACTTCTTTTGGGAGAGTTCAGTCCTGTCAGAATATAATATTAGTTCGCACACAATCTAATTTCATATATCATATCACAACTTTGCGATCCTCTAAATATTTAATCAGATTACATTCACAGAGAAGGAGTATTGCATCGCACACCATGTCATTTTCTGATCAAATAAGTCAGGTATTTTATTATGCAGAACGCATACATATTAAACATAAAGGGTAGCCCTTATAAGTCTCAATCGGGCACTCAGTGACTGAGGAATAGGCCCAAACTTTTGTACGCTTATGGGCCACCCTGTAAATAACATCAGGGTGCGTCATGAACTTCAATCAAGCTATTTGGGTCTGAAAATTTAAGACAAAAATTTTAATAACATACATTTTTAGTTATCAATTTTTTCGATTGTACAATTATTTTATTCAGTATTTTCCCACTCAATCAGTTACATTGACTTATTGGGTTATTTAACGAAAATGAACGGGTCCTTACCACCAAACGACAAATTAATTACAGACAAACTCCGACCATTTGCAGATAATCCTAAGTGAGGTTAAAGAACAAATAAATTGGAGGTAAACATGACGAGAATTTAAGAGTTCATGTTCCTTTTCAGTTGTAGACATCGTGTTAAGTACTTTTATAATGTTGTCTTGGTTAATATTGTTTGCAAGTTACTGTAAGTTAACTAAGTTACTGAGTCAACCACTGCAAGTTACTGAGTTAACCACAGATCACAATATAAGTACATATTATTAAAAAACTGATATATATTCGTCAGGATCGATTTCATCGATCAACTTAGCTTAATTAAACGTGTGTTGCGCGCGGCGCGCGCTATCACGTGATAAGTTTTGCGCCAAGAAACTAGTTTTAAGATAGCCGCGCTCCGCGCTAGGTCACATGACTTTTTCGTCAAATCGCTTTAGAATGTCTATATAAGGAAAAACAATACTAAATTATTCTCAAGTCATGATATATTCTCACCGGATAAATTAGAAGTCGATGATCTGAAACTAGAATTGAGTTTCCTAGTCAATATATCGCTTGACAGCTCGTGTGGGATGTCAAAGTATTTAGTTTGCGTCAATATAGCGTACTGGAACGAAACCTGAAATTACAAATTCCAGTTACTCTACTTCAGCTGCCTAGAACGCATACCACAACCGGTACGTGTACTATGTTTAGAATGAGAAGTATGCGACATTTGAGTAGGTCTCCCAACGTGTATCAGGTGTCAGCGAAAGATAAAACACCAAGACTGGATTTCGAAGCAGTTAGCGCAACACATGACAATATTATATATGTCCAGTAACCACATGTAATATATTATATAATATATATGCAGACACCTCAGAACATGATTAATGAGTCTTGGTTCATGTACTACTACTACTAGGTGTCACTAAAAGTGTGTCATGCTCCGCTTTTAGTGACATGTTGACTGATTGATAACCTGATCATGGCTGATTGGGTGTGATACGAAGATATACGTAGATATATAATAATAACAGTGTAATATATTATGCTGCACACTGCACCAACGTTTACGCCAAACTATAATGTAATCTTATTAAAACTACTGTAAGCCTGTACGAGATAGCGTTGTGGACTAGCATGTAAGCATGTTTTACATGGGGTATAATAACTGTGAACCGGAGCCAATATATAAGATAAGAACAAATTGTAATCGTAATAAGTAATAAACAGCGTCTCTCACATAATATTCTCCACCGGGGTTGTGGTATCCACGTACTGTTTGTCAGCTTATTATAACATCATACAAATGTGTGTGTGTGTGTGTGTGTTTGTATTGCGGCGCACACATAAACACAAAACTCGCTTCCGTATATAACGCTCTGTATAGCGTATATTGTGTACACAGCAACAGATATGTAGCACCTTGGTGAACATGTGCGAGTGTGTGTTCAGTGTGAATGTTGACATTAGGTATTTACACACACAACATAGCATTCCACATCAAGTGACATCACAGCGTTAATTACAGAGGGACTAGTGAAATTATCGTATACACTAATTCTATTGTGCAGAGTCCTGTGTATAGTGTGAGCCAATATACTGTACACATTAATGGGAGTGAATAGTTATAATGTACGCAGTACGAGGTTTGTGAATAGCTAAATCTAGATAATATCACGTACGTAAATCCGTAAAACTTAGATATTAACTATATATAACTTAATATATAACTTACTATATAAGTTAATATATATTATAACTTAAACTTTTATTAAAATAAATAACATAGCTAACATACCTGCTTGTTAAGATTAATAGCCAGCACGTTAGCTTCCTTCAACAGAACACTGTTCCTCAGGATCTCCTCTCGCAGACTATTGAACCGGTACACGTACCATTTGTTCACCACGCGCTGCGCCAGCGCCAACTCCTCCTTCGTAAACGCAACTGCGCAGCGGGGAAGTGTTGTTATGATTCGAGTACTGAATATAGCACTCACATAGCCTTCAACACGTTAATATATTACTGTGGATATTAAGTTGTAATGAAGATACCCTACAATTCAGTCCGGATACCTTAGCACTTCGCCACTACAAAACTATTAAAATCAAGAATATACTTTAATGTTATATAACTATGTATTAACTGTACTATATATTACAGTGTTAAACACACTGAGGAATGTGCACCGTTTCCCCTCCAAAATTTGGCTGTCAAACATACTTCACATACTTTACCACGGAGTTTTTATTAAATGTGTTAACAACAACACATGGTAAACGTATAGTATATATAGATTGTAAAATGTACCTAGAATACACTAGTATTAGGTGTGGAGCAAGTACATGATGTCACACACGACACTGTAACATTACATGTGTATCGTTATTACTTGACAGTTTGTTTTACGTGTAAAAAGTAAGGGGTTAGCTTAGGTAATCCTAGTTTCTGACTGTCACAGTTTTTACACACGGGCGTCTGGAGTAATGATGATGATTATATTGTGTAGGATACTTTTTGATAAAGCGAAGAAGTCGGCATACTTACATCATGCAGTGAGATTTAGGTTTTATCCGCAATTTCTCGCAAAGAGTTTTTATCTAAATATGGCAATGAGGGGGTAATTCAGAGCGCCGGAAGTATTTACATTTTATAGGTTCAATAATTTTAAAGGAGCATTACATAATTAATAGTAATTCATGTCGTAAGTCCTGATGGGTAAAGTTAAATCGAACTGTTTCGTGAAATTTAAGTGTTTTATTAAATATTCAACGCTGTTTACTCGTAGTCAAACATATTATTTCACTGTACAATTCTCTAAACGATTATTTTATTTTATTTTATTAATTTTATTTCTTAATTTTGTGATCTATTTTTAGTCTCTATATAATATATTATATTATATTATATTAAATAACAACTAAGTCGCATTGAATGCATTTAAAATGTCCTTTAATTCTTCCTTATCCTTCTTTCTGATTCGATGACAAAGGGAGTTCAAACGAGGTTGCTCTTTATATAATTGGAGATAACCGAATAACTGATAGTAACTACCGAGTAACTACCGAATAACTACTAGCAACTACCGAGTAACTACCGAATAAATACTATTAACTACAGAGTAACTTCCGAGTTACTACCGAGTTACTACCAAAAGGTGAAAACAGCTTATTTGATATCACATTTTTAAGCGTTTATCAGCACTAAATAACTACAGATCTAACAGGTGATTATCTGCGTTATCGCTTGTAAGTTTTGGGCCATCCATTATACAGTAATACCCCTATTTACCGTGGAGTTTGGGAGAAAGGAAAAAGCCACGGTAAATCGGGGTTTGCGATATATCGGGGTTTTACTGTACTTAGTTTTACTAATAGTAAACTAAGATGATAACTCACTATGTTCGCTGCTAGAAGAGGAACTCAGATTACTAGTGTTCATATCCATAGCTTCCTGTAGCTTAGTCTCGTACAGTTGACGTTGTAGTGCTAGCGCCTTCTCCGCCTCCTCTCTTTCTTGCTTCATCTTCTCTTCCAGGTAGCTTACTCTGGGGGGAGGAGAGATTATTGCTATTGCTAATTAGCTATTGCTAATTGTTATTGCTATTGTAATCTACATTTTATTAGAACGTCACCTAGATATTAGGATTTACAAAAGGATGTGAATATTCTCTGATGTACTCAGAGCCAACATACGGAGTGTCCCAAAATGGAAACAAAGTTCATTTTGAGAATAACTCGCCCGTACAAGTGCGGCAATTTTGACCGGAACTTACCAAAGGAAAACGGTGGTAAGTAAATAAGGTAAGTAAAATATAGCGGTAATAAGGCTGCACTCGTTTCATATAAAACTTACAGCACTAAAAACATTATCAACATGAGTATAGTAGAGTATAGTAGAGCTATAACTATTGGTATTACAAGAATGTTAGATAAGTGTTTGCAGTTTGTTCATTATTTTTGTGTGAGATTGCTGCCTCTTAATTCCTCGAGTCTAACGGCTTGAAATGTACAATCCTATTGTATCTAAATATAAGTTCCCTCTGAATTCCAAACTAGAGTGTACGTACTTAGAGTTCATTTCGTGAAGAGAACAGCCTTGTTTTTCAAATATCTCCTTCTGTGCGTAGAACCAGTCAACATGTTCCGACACTATCGACTCTGAAAATAATAAGTTATCAATTGATTTATTAATTAGCACGACGAATCTTCTTAGTATACCCGCTCTGATGCGGGATATGGAACACTGAACTGTGTAAAATGAAGAATTGAACCTACAAATATCCATGCAATCTCAGCTGTACTGTAAAGTGTGAACATTGTTCTTTTACATTTAATTTCAAAACGTTACGACTATCCACCAAAAATAGTTTTTATATTTCCAACAATATTAAGGAGTATTCTTTGCTACAATATAAAATAGTTTTTGTTGTGACACAGTGCACTATAACAGCAGCACAACAAAAGACCTCTAGTACTAATATCCCTCTATCAGAGATCAGAGTTAGCGGCTGTTATTATCTTGATGAATATGTACACGCTCTCCTCCTCCTCACATTATACAGAGAGATACAACATGTAGTACAAAGAGCTTATCGTGTATTTAACTCCCTGGGGAACCAGTGTCTCTATATCTGACGCTATCAGTGGGGTTAGACTGTAGTTTACATGTGTATTAGTTATGTTCTGCACATTAAGGTAGTAAGAGGGGATTGGTATGTTAATATTATGTGAAGATTACTTTTATGAATTCTTTATAAACATTAAACAGGGATATTCATCAGACTTCACCAGCGCTTCACTCAGAAAACTAGAGCCAGCTCCAAGCATGATACACAAATGCTACTCGTAATTAACACACACTTTACATTATCATGTAAGTTTCACACAGAAGGTACAGTGTAGACAGTTAACATCCCCTGTTAAACTGACAGACAACACACACACACACACACACACACACACACACACACACACACACACACACACACACACACACACTAGACACAATCTCTGGTATATTCAGCTCAGTATTAGCTTTATAAGCTAGTTAAGATAGTACAATCCCTCTGAAGTCTGAAGTCTGAAACCCTCTTAAATAGCCAGCAATTCCTGTTTAAAGAAGCTAGTTTAACGGTTAGTAAAGCTAGTTAAAGAGTATTTATATCACCACCACAACCACAGACATGTTCAGACATGTTCAGCAGACATGGAGCTTAAATTAAAACAATAACCACAATCCACATCTACTTAAAGTGCATCCAGCAAGAGTTATTCTTTAACAACTTAGTAAGCTAGTTTAACCGTTTATTAATCAAGTTTAAGCGTTAACATCGCTTATAATACCACCGCATTGCACACATGCACGTTAATTCATGATATTATTGAAATATATACGAGGTTATTATATAATACATTGTATTATATTTAAATACTAAATAGTAAATAGTGCTCTATAATATTCAAACGTATTTATTCAGATTCTCGATAAGCTGACATTTGAGCGGTTCAGTAAATATCTCATTATCTTTGCTATATAATATTATATATCATATCATACACTATGCAGTATGCACTATATTATAATATATACTAAATAGTGCTATTTACTACAATATATATACACTTAATAGCTCCACAATGACGCACATTTGTAGGATTAGTATTGACATTTAAGACACTGAATTTATGATTACTGTACATTACCAGATCCTATTAAACATCTTGTGCGTGTCGTGTTATTAAATGAAATAACAGTGTTAACGTGACGAGTTGTAATTATCAGTGTTTCTTGCTTAAATAAGCTAATACTTGTTAACAGGCCTCATGATACCACATTGCACAAGAAAACATGCATATTAATATTAAGATATTATTTAATTGCACTATATAATATATAATAAACTGTATAACTAATAACTATGTACCGTATTATTATTATGTTGACTAAATAGTGTTGTGTGTAGACTGCAGGATTAGTATTGACTACTGTCCGATATCAATAAGCTGTTGTGCGTTTCGTGGAATAAAAACATGTTATAAACTTAATATTATAAACATGTGACAAGCTGTAATTAACATTATATAATGCAGAGTAATTAACTGTAATTAACATTATATAATGCAGAGTAATTATGTTACTATGTGTAAACACCACACGTTCATTGTGAGATTTTGCATTACAAAACTTCAAGATGCTGCTAGCAGTAGCAGAGAAGCGTGATGAGCCGTCGGCAAAACTAGATTTTACACACCCCGTACACACTACACACACGTGACATATTGTACTTATGAGTTATGGTACATTTCACGGCTGAGATATTCCGCATATAATGTGTTTGGTATAATATCAATAGCATATTCGTGTCCAAATACAAAATATTATATCGCATATATCTAACATATTGGAGTGTGCACTCCTGAACAGTGAACACCTTGCCAGCAACATAAGGCTTGTAGTGCTTGTGTGTGACAACGGCGAGGACATTGAAAATATATGCATAACACTTACATAACATATTCACAAATATTACACAATATTACAAGATTACATAACCGTTCACAAAAGGTCTCATATTATGTAATAATATGTAATATGTACATGTTTATACTACACAATATGTTCCCTGATTACGTAAGTGCCAACATGCACCTTTTTACATAGTGGACCAAAATTAACTGCACGTTGAGGGTGTGGGAACGTGTCAGTTGCTTTACTTGTGCAGGGTGTGGGTAAACAGAGGCTGTGTTTCATGTGCAGTTAATTTTGGGCCACCATGTTCGCTATTTCATTCACAGTACAGATTACAGCACCAAATTTTAAACATTGTTGGCAAAAATTCATCGACACAATATATATTCTCGATGTTTGATCAAGTTCAATCTGTTCGATGTTAGTGTAAAATTAATGAAATTATAAAATAAAACAATAGATATTCTGTATGTGGGGGAGGCGGACCACATTTTTGCAGGCACGTGAGGGCAATAATTAATCGGCTCCCAATATTGACCAAACCCAATATCCCTGTCACGTGTCAAAACAAATACAACCCACGCCCTCACAAGTATAAAGATATGTTTGTGTACAAATTATTTCTCTTAACAGTTAAATTAAATTAATTAATTTATTTCTCTTAAAAGTACCTGTTTCCATGTTATTCTGAAGTGCAGTTGCTCGCTGTTCCCTTAGTCTAGCTGCTTCAGTTGGGTTGTTGTACCTGGTAATACATTAAACTTAATTAGATTGTCAGTTAATTTAATAGGGCCCTTAATAGTTAACTGTGATCGTATAGAACATAGCCAGTGACTACTGACTAGTAGATTATGAAAAGTGACGTCATGTAGATTGTTGGTTAGACTATGATTATTGAATATTCTCTCAAAACTGAAAACTGTGACCAATAATATGAATCTGGAAATGACAAGCTACAGTCACCACTATATAGTGCAGATCCCTAACAAGTGGCTATCAAGTGGTACTCACAGTGACCAATAAGTGGCTCTCACAGTGACCAACAAGTGGCTCTCACAGTGACCAACAAGTGGCTCTCACAGTGACCAAGAAGTGGCTCTCACAGTGACCAATAAGTGGCTCTCACAGTGACCAAGAAGTGGCACTCATAGTGACCTATAAGTGGCTCTCACAGTGACCAAGAAGTGGCACTCACAGTGACCAATGAGTGGCTCTCACAGTGACCAACAAGTGGCTCTCACAGTGACCAATAAGTGGCACTCACAGTGACCAACAAGTGGCTCTCACAGTGACCAATAAGTGGCTCTCACAGTGACCAAGAAGTGGCACTCATAGTGACCTATAAGTGGCTCTCACAGTGACCAATAAGTGGCTCTCACAGTGACCAAGAAGTGGCACTCATAGTGACCTATAAGTGGCTCTCACAGTGACCAATAAGTGGCTCTCACAGTGACCAACAAGTAGCTCTCACAGTGACCAATAAGTGGCTCTCACAGTCTCATTAATAGTCAGCATGTAGATTGTACAGTGTGTGCGCTGTACTGCTCATTATGCCGTGGCCCGTGTGATACAATGATTGAAGCACGGTGATCTGATGACTACTGAGTCCTGACTTATGGTGCAATAAAAATAAGAGTGATGCAATGAATAATGAATGTCATAAAAGAAAGTAATAGGCTTTCAACCAATATGGTTTCAGAACCAATGATTATGAGCAATTACCTGTCATGAACAACACGAATAATGATTAATTAATATTATATATAATATACATATTATATATTAATTAATATATCCTCCAACAAGAGGAACTAGGGTTTAATCAATCTTCTCGTTTAATTTGCCGAGCTCGACACGGATGAAAACTAAATTTCGATTTTACGTATTATATCATAACTGCAGTTTAAGATCCTTAATATACATATATATAAGGCCCCATTTTATTACTTTACAAATCAGATAGTAAATGATAAAATAGAAGGTCAAAGACCAGGCTTACCAGGTATAATAATTTAACAACGTATAGCAGGCAGACAGGCAGTACTGTATGAAATTCTGGGATTAAAAATGCCAAACAGGATCATTAAATATGGCATGTCAGGATAATGTAATATAATGAAGGAATTACTGTGCTAGAAATTTGTTTTCCCTACCACAGCTTACATTCGGCAACTTTGATTCCCGGAATCTAGCTGAGCGTTATAAAAAGGAATAATTTCGCAACTTTGTTGTTTTATGACGTTGGTCATTTAAACGAGTATATTATACTAAAATTTATACGTAAATGTGTGTACTGACTGCAGTTGGTGTAGCGAAATATTTACCGATACAAATTTTATATCTATTTTTCAGTTCTGATGAACATGTGGTTGGAGAATATTCAGTTAACAATTTTATTCTTTCCAATCAAGAAGTCTTATTAATTGTTAAACAGTCAAGCTGTTAGAAGACATAAACAACATTCAAAATATTTGTATGAATATTATAAATATCATAAATACCATCTAAAATATTATTTTCTTTATTCATTTATAATAATTTTTGGTCTCAACGTATGCTAACCTCAGTGGTACTTAGAAAGCATTGGAGCTACCACAGAATGAGTATAGACATGTCAAGTGCCTTTGACACCATCAGCAGAGAAACAGTACTCAATGTTCTTGAAGATGCTGGCTGTACTAGTGATGAAATTAGGATGGTACGGCTCCTACTATCAAACACAGTGTTGAAAGTAAAAGTCAATAATACTGTATCAATTGAGTTCCAAAGCACAACTGGAGCATTTCAAGGAGATGCACTATCAGGTAATCTATTTACTGTTGTTGAAGCCGCTGCACTTATTCACCTCAGATCTGTACTCTCCCAAGTATCATCAACACCTTACCCAGTGAATCATCCAATCCCTAATCCTCCTATCTCAGAAGAATTCATGCCACTCGAAACAGGATACTCTGATGATATTGACTTTAATAACACTGAACTTGCTCCACTCAAAGAAATGCTTCCTATCGCTAAAGATATATTCCAGCAGTGGGACCTTCATATCAATTCTTCCAAGACTGAATTTGTCCATTTTTATTTAACAGATCCTAAACCCACTGTTAAACGCAAGGTGATTGTTGGAAAAGTGTATAGAGGTGATGAAGAGTGGCGCTCTAACAAAACTTTAGGATCGTTGATGTGTACTGTTAAGGATATCAAGAATCGAATATTCCTTGGTAATGTTGCCTTTAGTAAATTTCAGAAAGAAAGAAAGAAAGAAAGTTTGGATGAAGAGCAAGATTTCAGTCCGAAGGAAGATCAAAATCTACGAGGCACAAGTAGTCTCTATTCTACTCTACAACTGCAACTCCTGGGCTGCACCACTAGCTTCGTTGAATGAACTTGATATTGCTCATCGCAAACACCTCCGAAGAATCCTCAACATCAGATGGCCTACTGGGGTTATTTCTAATGAGGCACTCTATGCTCGTTGTTATGTCACTCCCTTGTCTGTGAGAGTCTCTAAGTTTCGATGGAGAATGTTAGGACATATCTTAAGAGGACAGGAAGACTCACCAGCATACACCTCTATGTTATTTGCTATAAATTCTGATATTTTTATGGAAGGGAGACGGGGTAGACCATGTTTAAACTTATTAGATGTTATTAGAAAAGACTTGACTAGTAGAAATCTTGATATTAGACTTAAGAATTTGACTGATTTCGAAGACCTTAGATTTTTAGCTTTAGATAGGGAGGAGTGGAAGAAGTTAGAAGATGATTGATGTTTTTGTTTTCTTTTTTATGCGTTTTGATATCTATAAGGTGCCTAGGATGCTCTTTTAAAGAGATATTTCGTACTTTGGAAGATTTACTACTATTCATTTATAACTGCGCTAGCGTTACAGATGTAACCATATTAAAGGATGCAGTCAGTCAGTCAGTGTAAACAATTACCTACAATTAACGATACAAAAGATAATGGGAGAAAGTGTGGGTCATTATCAGGTGATTAGGGGGTCATTATCAGGCCAATTAGACGTGTTCTGTAGTGTTACTGTTGCCCGTTTAAAACATTTACTGGGGAGTAACAAACATTTACTGAGAAACAAGGATCAAACCCCAACCAATTAGTGACCAATTAGTGAGAAACGAGAATCAAACCAGCCGATTTTAGGTCATTACTTGGCTAATTTTAGTTACAGGCTGAAAATACAGCGAGCATGAAACATTGCTATAAAGATTGTTGTGCAATCAAAACCGGGTTAATCACATACTTAGAATCCAAACTACAGCATCATTTTTAGTTGATAGGAAAACTTTCATTGGATTTGAAAAGTGAATGGCTAACATATTATTTATCTACCATAGCCGCGAAGAACTGACCTCTAAATTTATAGCAATAATATTTCTATTGCAATTTTTTCTTTTAGCGGCTAGTTTCTCACAGCTGAGCTACAAGATCACCTAGTGTGTCCCACAACCAAGCTCATTGCCTAGAAGCCCTGCATTAGGGGGTGCATTATTATAATGCACCTGGACATATGTGGCACGTATAAGCTCTTTAAACCAAAACCAAAACCAAATACAAGATCACCTAATTGTTATGGTCACTACTTATTCACAGTGATTAAACTTACCTAAAAACATGAGAGGTACCCAGGACGATGCGGTTACCGTTACTGAGTGAGAGTATCTCACTTACAGCTGCTCCGTTCACAAACACACGTGCACCTGACATCGGGAGTAGCACCACCTGAAATAGTTTAGAGATTACAAGATAAACAACTTGGACATTTGCCAGCAGATGATATATTAATTCATTTTCATTTGGTAACACTACCTGTTGTTTTTATTTTATTATTTACGCATTGAAAATATAATATTTTTAAAAATTAATTAATTTTACTGATCTATCAAATAATGTGGCTTACAGCGTTATCGTTGTTTGTGAAGGTACAGTGATGAGGAAGAATGGAGGGACCAGTTAGCAATATGTCAGGCTTCATATCAGCTGTGCCGCCACCCACCCTGCAATTATCATTTAATCTAACATTTAGTCAAACGCAAGAGAATGTTTTCACTAACTCCATAATATACAGTAAATTCCAAACCAAATCACCGATAACCGGACGATGAATCCGGCCTTTTACCTTAACCCGGACAATCTATAATTGCAGGAATATGTTTATTGTATACAGCCGGCCGAGTTTACCACAACAACCACCACATGCCAACCAAGTCTAGACACTAACTAACAGCTATCTCCTGAAGCCGGCCTCTTAGTTGAGACACTAACCAACAGCTATCTCCTGAAGCCGGCCTCTTAGTTGCGACACTAACTAACAGCTATCTCCTGAAGCCGGCCTCTTAGTTGAGACACTAACTAACAGCTATCTCCTGAAGCCGGCCTCTTAGTTGAGACACTAACCAACAGCTATCTCCTGAAGCCGGCCTCTTAGTTGAGACACTAACCAACAGCTATCTCCTGAAGCCGGCCTCTTAGTTGAGACACTAACCAACAGCTATCTCCTGAAGCCGGCCTCTTAGTTGAGACACTAACCAACAGCTATCTCCTGAAGCTGGCCTCTTAGTTGAGACACTAACCAACAGCTATCTCCTGAAGCCGGCCTCTTAGTTGAGACACTAACCAACAGCTATCTCCTGAAGCCGGCCTCTTAGTTGAGACACTAACCAACAGCTATCTCCTGAAGCCGGCCTCTTAGTTGAGACACTAACCAACAGCTATCTCCTGAAGCCGGCCTCTTAGTTGATACACTAACTAACAGCTATCTCCTGAAGCCGGCCTCTTAGTTGAGACACTAACCAACAGCTATCTCCTGAAGCCGGCCTCTTAGTTGAGACACTAACCAACAGCTATCTCCTGAAGCCGGCCTCTTAGTTGATACACTAACCAACAGCTATCTCCTGAAGCCGGCCTCTTAGTTGATACACTAACTAACAGCTATCTCCTGAAGCCGGCCTCTTAGTTGAGACACTAACCAACAGCTATCTCCTGAAGCCGGCCTCTTAGTTGAGACACTAACCAACAGCTATCTCCTGAAACCGGCCTCTTAGTTGAGACACTAACCAACAGCTATCTCCTGAAACCGGCCTCTTAGTTGAGACACTAACCAACAGCTATCTCCTGAAGCCGGCCTCTTAGTTGAGACACTAACCAACAGCTATCTCCTGAAGCCGGCCTCTTAGTTGAGACACTAACCAACAGCTATCTCCTGAAGCCGGCCTCTTAGTTGAGACACTAACCAACAGCTATCTCCTGAAGCCGGCCTCTTAGTTGATACACTAACTAACAGCTATCTCCTGAAGCCGGCCTCTTAGTTGAGACACTAACCAACAGCTATCTCCTGAAGCCGGCCTCTTAGTTGAGACACTAACCAACAGCTATCTCCTGAAGCCGGCCTCTTAGTTGAGACACTAACCAACAGCTATCTCCTGAAGCCGGCCTCTTAGTTGATACACTAACTAACAGCTATCTCCTGAAGCTGGCCTCTTAGTTGAGACACTAACCAACAGCTATCTCCTGAAGCCGGCCTCTTAGTTGATACACTAACCAACAGCTATCTCCTGAAGCCGGCCTCTTAGTTGATACACTAACTAACAGCTATCCCGATCTATCCTCTTAGTTGCGAGAGTGATCCGGTCTACGTAATACTCGAACAATATCCAGTCCAGTCAGTCTTAACTGAGGTATAATCACTATAAGGTATAATCACCATTCACCAACTTCAGCTTCTTCGCAATATACGGCATTAAAGGCAATTTATAATGCACGTATTAAATTTAAAGAACCCCCCGTTATTTTTCCATATAACCAAGTGACTCTGGGAGAGAGAGAGAGGGAGAGAGAGAGAGAGAGAGAGAGGGAGAGAGAGAGAGAGAGAGAGAGAGAGAGAGAGAGAGAGAGAGAGAGAGAGAGAGAGAGAGAGAGAGAGAGAGAGAGAGAGAGAAGAGAGAGAGAGAGAGAGAGAGAGAGAGAGAGAGAGAGAGAGAGAGAGAGAGAGAGAGAGAGAGAGAGAGAGAGAGAGAGAGAGAGAGAGAGAGAGAGAGAGAGGCACTTCAAAACTTTACTGGGTAAAGACAGTAAAATTTGGCACCGAACACACATAGTTACAGTGTGACGGCTATTATATAAGAGCTTATGGTATCACGGGTTACATTTCTCTCGGGTATAGCGGGCTGTCAGCGGTGCGCTGCGCAACAAGGCGCTAATAGACCACGTTCAGATCACAGCAGAGACCTGATTGGCTACTAGGGTAATTCCTTGTGTTGTGATTGGTTGTTGGGTTTACCGTATACTGGTTTATCCGTTTAGATCAGTGTGTGATCTCTGAGGGTGGAGCTCACAGGTAAACATGCAAACCATCCTAGAAAACAGCGAGCCAGAAATTGTGGAATGCTCTTTAAGAAGTGTCGAAACTTGGTGTGTCAAGATTCCGAGCACTTGTGGGAGTTCGAGATGGGAATATAAAGAGGACACTAGCTGACAGCTGATAGCACGATGAGACTGTACGATGGAGGATAACTGCGCCTCACTACGCCTTTCCCAGCGTAGTTGTTAACTATGTGATCACCTAGTTAAACGCAATGCTTAGTGAAAGCTAACAATATTCGCCCTCCTGCTAGAAGACTGCTCAAAGTGATGACATCATCCAATCAGATTAGTAATACCACATGTTCGTTAGCCTGTACATGTTTTATTGGGTATGGGAGCCAGCCTCAGCTTGGAACATGATCTTTGGTACTTTCTGCAACATCCTCCAGCACACTATTACGAAAATAAGTAATAACTAAAATAAGTAATAACTAAAATAAGTAATAACTGGAATAAGTAATAACTAAAATAAGTAATAACTAAAATAAGTAATAACTAAAATAAGTAATAACTAAAATAAGTAATAACTAAAATAAGTAATAACTAAAATAAGTAATAACTAAAATAAGTAATAACTAAAATAAGTAATAACTAAAATAAGTAATAACTAAAATAAGTAATATAACTAAAATAAGTAATAACTAAAATAAGTAATAACTAAAATAAGTAATAACTAAAATAAGTAATAACTAAAATAAGTAATAACTAAAATAAGTAATAACTAAACAGCTGTAACATAGCTCTGTAAAGTGTCATTCTGAATTATGGGGTTTAATTAAAAATACCAAAAAGTGAAAAAAAATACCCCAGCCCAATTAACTAACCTTGTTTCGCCCTCCTTAATACAATACATCAAACACTCGTTCATCAAGGAGTCCTCCGACAAATTTATAAGATGGGGAGTGTTCTTAGGGGAGAAAACCCCCCACGCTCCTCCTCCTTCTCCTCCTCCCTGTATTGATACTCCCAACTCTGTGAGCGCTGATTCTCTGCGGAGTGTGGGAGTTACTTCATCAGTCAAACACAAGGAAATAATTTGCCATAATATATAATATTGCTTTCTGCGGATCCAGTTTATTCAAAGGTATTACACTCGTGAGGTTTCTTGACAAAGAGAATTTTCCTGGTCAATCTCATGTCAAAATTAATAATTAACGAGGCAAGACACCTCAGAAAGGTAGAAAGTAATACATTTAGAACTGCTCCAGTTCCTGAACATGCACACTGAACCATGGAGCCGAACGATTAGCGTAATGAGGCAGATAATGTGTCAATTAGAGGACTGAGAAAGGAGCTGTCTGTATTATAATGATATGATGTGTTGTATTACAATATCTAGTGTCTGTATTTGTGGTATCCAGTGCATGCTCACTACGGTAGTTACCTCTTTTGTTCCCTAATTCTAATACAGTGTGATGTGATAATACAGAGACAAAGGCATACCCTGGACAAGACAACGCTAGTAAGCACTAATGCCCTCGCGGTACATTACCAACGTTCCTATGCTGCATGCTTACCATTGTGTACTATAGTTCACTTATACACCTGATTCTGTATATTTATCCATAATTCACATACCTTTCGATCTTTATTTTTTCCGTTTTCTGCAGTTTTTGCTCCCAAGTTTCGTTCAGTTCTGCGATAAGTTTCTCAGACGCTTGGAGCTGTTCTTGTGCGTTGGTAGCCTGCCTCATGGCTCCTCCGCTGCTCTTTGCGTCAAACACTTGAGATAGAAAGTATGTGAATGTTATTTTAATAATTTTCAGAACTATGTGCTTTATATTTTGGCATGTAGGAAATGTTACCACTCAGTTTTATACCACATCCGCGAAAAACAGGAATATTAAATTCGAGCTTTTGGAGTTAATATATCATTGCAATTTTGAGCGTTTGGCGACCAGTTTTTCGCGGCTGTAGCTGTGGTAAACATCTGACTGCAAATCACTGTTCACCACGCAATTTATACGCATACAAGATGCAGGGAGGTTCTGCGTTCCCAGCTACTCTATAAGAAGGAACCCTCAAGAAATAAACTAATAATAACATCCCTCATACAATTAACACTTGCTAACACACAGAAATCAGTCCCAGTACGTGTTTTAATCTCATGATTGTAATTAGCACATTTCGAAATAGTTCACAGGAATGCGGTGCTTCAGAATCAGAACTCTTGAGGAATGTTAGAGTGCAATTCACAGGCAGTGGCGTGCAAAGTCAAGTAGAAGAGACTTGAAAGAGATAATGATGTGTCGCGTCTGTGGCGGATACAGACACTTGCTTCACATGTACTTCACACGTTGGTGATGTATAATGTGTTAGAAAGATAATGATGTTGTTGTTGTTGTTGTTCCCTCACTTACTAGTACCAGCATGTTAAACACTAACCTGATCCTGTGTGTGTGGTTATGTTATGTGGTTTATACTTTATAGTGGTTTTAATGCGGTTATATGGTTAGAATATTAGAATAATCATGTTATAGCGTGGAAAATTCGGTTAATTTCGAGAGTAGACCTATATAAAGATATAATGTTTAAGAATGCGAAATATTGGGAGCCGTGGACACTAAAATGTTATTTGGATTTAATTGGATTCCTTCCAACCCAAATCGCTATCATCCCCATTATATATTACCACTTCAATAGCAATGTCGTCATTGGCACAAATCCAAGTGACAATATTTCATTTACCAAATAGATCTTGCCTGGCACTTCGTACCAAACTTCTGATTACATATTGTGATTTTAACGATCACCTTTCAAGTTAACTGTTCGACAGAACTCATTTTCATGATCACCCTTCAAGTAATATGACATCATAGCGCGGATAGTTGATACTCAGATAACGGTTATCAAGGAGTGGTAGTGAGAACACAGTATTCCAGTCCCCCTCCAGTTTCCCAAAATAGTAATTTTAGGAACTAGGAAGTGCATTCCTGCATAGTAGCCTAAACATTGAACAACCCCTAAGGCTAAACTTTCAGCAGTTAAGTTCATTTACCGCACTGAATTCCGCTCAGAGGATTCTACATGTGATATTAACACATTACATTCAAAACCTTACATTTATTTTCAGAGCCAAACAAATTTCACTAAATAGAAAGTTGAAATTCGAGCTCACTAGAAATTTCACGGCAACAGCCACTTCTTATCGAATCAAGTCTTCAATTTATCACCAAACGGAAAAAACCACACTCACATACGACATAATATCATTACACGGAGGCCCCTATGTAAAAATGCAACATATTTAACATCCAGGCTCACTTCTCTTACCGTAAGATTCAATCTTTGCTTCAAGTCCTTCAGCCTTGATGATAGCCTTGAGTTTCATCACCTCTTCTTGCAATTCCCGGATAATCTGAAGTAAACAAAGTTACAATCCTCTACCTCACTGTAACCGGTATAACAGCTGGTAAAGAATGGCAAAAAAATTACTGAAATATAAATTACAACTAAGGCGTTAACCATTCCATCAGAATTGTTGGTATTAATTATTTAGAAGTTAAAGCACGCTTTAAAAGGCTCTAATTGAGCGATGAAACCTCCCAAACATTCTTTTTATTACGTTAAACTGAGATTTTGTGAGATCATATTATGATTTTATGAAGCCGTATTAAGTGCTAATTCTAGAGTTAAATCTAAATTACAATCTAAGCCGTGAAGTTGAACACCTCCTGACGCACAAATATTGGCCATATTTAAGAAGGCTTTATCACTTAGATCTTAAGTGGTTGAGTGGAATTTAGAGGTAATGCTATTACCGTCAATTATCAAATTAGCACCTAAAAGAAAAGTTAGCCTTAATGAAACAAACGACCAGTAACCAGATACCTAACTGAAAATAAAAAGTGACAGGTTACCTTAGCATTAGGATCTTCATTAACAACAGCTTTACACATGATCTGTTTAGCTCTATCGGCGTACCGAAGCGTACTCAGCGTCTCATCGTAGTTTATATTAGCTGGACTCAGGGCTGCTATCATGGCTGTTTTACTGTTACCTCCCAGGTTCTCTTTTAGTAGCCAGGTTAGAACTGAGTCTCGGAAGGGGATAAAGTTGTCTTTTTTCCCGCGCTTCTTCATCGTGGATTTAGAGTTTGCCTAGGGTAATGGAACAGTTAATTACAATTCTTTGTGGAGAAGTTAGAGTTATTTAACAGGTGATTTATAGTTTGTTAGCAGTAATTAAACAGGTAACTTAAATTCTGATTTGTTGCTGTTGTATTGTAAAGCAAGGACTATAATTGTAGTTGCATGCTCAGATTGCTAATTAGCATCATCTCTTTACTTCCCTTTATAACCCGCTCGGTTATTTGAGCTGCATGACGTCTATAAATAGATTCAATGGGAAAGTCAAATGTTAATTAGATATAACTTATCACCCGGGATATTGTGATTAGGTTACCACAGAGTGACAATTAAGTTAGTGTCTATCATGGGAAACACAGCCCACTCAACAACAACTATACACCACGTGATAAACTCTACACCACGTGATTAATCACGTGATAACCTTCTTTTACCTGTTCAGCTAGGGCTGATATAACTTTCCCCAGAGTAGTAAGGGATCTGTTGATGTTAGCACCTTCTTTTAAACGCGCGCCGGTAGCACCGGTAGCATCAGCACGTTCCGACCCAGCCAGATCTACCAGACTTATCTTGGAGACCTGTGGTAGATAGATATAATAGTACAGATCTGCAGAATTAACTGTGCTGTGCTGTTAAACAATAAACATGGATTACGTTATTTGAGTGCTTTTTCAATTATTGACTTTAAATCAGATTTTTAAACCGATCAAGATCCAGTGAGTGAACAAAACCATGCATTTCTGTTAAACTACGGGGGAGGTAATATTCTGTATGGTCAATAATCATCCACTTTATTTGTTAATGCCTTGGATTGATACCGATTACCCGCCCCCCCCCCCCCTCCCCCTCCAATCTACTGAACAACTTACCTTCTCAGCAGTAAGTCCAGTAGGAGCATTATACTTCCTCTGAGTAAGTATAATAGAGAAGACAGCATGAGATCTACTGCTGGTCTCGTTCATGTTAGTGGACGCTACAGTCCTGCTCTTGTTACCCTCGTCCATCAAGTCTGAGATGTCAGAGTAGTTTTGTACAGCTAGTTTAGCGAGGTCTTCTACGTACGGTCCTAATACCGGGTGCTCCCTGAAATGTATAGAATGTACAGATTCATAGAATGTATAGAAGTTAGCTACTTTACCAGCTCCGGGTCATCATTGAGAGCTACAGTGAAATAAATAACTCTTTACTAGCTGATCCAGTTTTTAGATAGAGCAGGAGTCAGGACCATCAATATTGTGCACTTTTATATAAGCAAAAACTGCGGTCAGCTTGTTCGATCAATTTATTCTCCGCAAAATTCTAAACGTTTCTTGAAGATGATCTGGTTCAAGGTTTCAAGTAGCTTAGACTCTTGACGTAATAATTGAGTACACCGTGCAGCAGTATTCTAAATGGTAAGTGGCACAGCTGCAGCTTGACTCAAAGAACCCTGTCTCTCTCTCTGTCTCACCTACAGTTGAACTTACTGCACGGTGCTACATATTCTATTAGTAAGTTGGATCTCAGTGTGATATAGTATACTCCTGAACATATCACATAATAGTTTCATAATAATATGTCCAGCCCCTCAGGGCCTCAGGCAGTTTGTGCCTAAACATCACACCAGAACTGCTGAGTCACGTATTATTAAGAGTCATGGCTTCATGGATATTTCATGGTGAATATTAGAGCTGCAGTGAAGATTTGGATAAAGTTGTCGTTTGAAAGGTAAATGGATTTTCATTGGACCAGTCCGCCAAGTAAAAGTGTTTACATGGAGGAGTTATCCACGTCTAAATAACATAACAGAGTCGTGTATTAACACTATGTTTAGTGCAGAGTAACACATTCTCCCTATAAAACTATATTATGTTTGTTAGTGTGTTACACAGTGTATTATATTCTTAGTTACAGCTAAAATATCTATAGCTTTTCACTTTTGTGTGTTACAGTATTGCTATACTAGCACTAGATAGCAGTTCATCACCAGATGACCAATCACCTGAGGAGCGGACCAAAAACGTCTAAATCGATAAGCGAACATAACCTTTATCCATGCAGTTTCTGCATATTATATAATATTTCACACCTAATATATTACACACTTTAACATAGTCGGGACACTATAATAGTCGGGACGGTAGTCAGTGTGCAGACAGCAGGGCGTTTAGTAGAATTACAGTTTTTATTGAGCTGACAGCAAAAAGTTAGCTTACCTCATCGCATAAATTACATAAATTACATGTTGTATTATAAACATTTTAGCGCTTTTAAAAGTTTCGAGTTTTCATTGGCAAGAAGAGTCGAGCGGCGTTTTAAACATTAAGAGATTGCGTTTTACACAGGTTTATTGCTTATTAGCAAGTGCAATGTTATAATAATCATGTTATGAATGAGTTTTTACATACTGTGAGATTTAGAATGCTCGCTGATTAAAAATTCTTTTTTTGTATCATATTGCTAAACTGCCAAAGGTCCCGGTATCAGCTATTAAAATAAGCTGAATGTTTTCACAATACCAGAAACCATCTGTGAAAGTGTGAAACGTTTACAATGATATTGTTTATAAGGAATTTTATTGATGTACGAAGAGGTTAAGTTATTCCTACACCACCCACCCCCTACACCACCGCCCCCCCCCCCCTCCCCTCCCGCCAACATTATTACGACATAACAAGATACCCCCATAAAATATTCACATAGTTTTAAAGAAATACAAATGTTTTAGACGTTATACATGTTATTTGATAGCACTAAATAGATTGTGGTCATTTAAACCGTTTTAAACAATAAATTACTTTGGTTACATTTGGTTGAACATCAGTCAAAACCCATCTCAAATTACTAGAAATCAAGCATGGTCCTGTTACATTAAACTATATGGAGTCTAACAAGTTACATATAAATGCAGGGAAAAGTTGTTATATGCATTTTCAGCCAGGTTTGTCAAGAGCAACACAGACCTGTGCCAGAACACGGCCCTTTAACAGGAATCTAACGATTTTAATAGATGGCAAAAAGCTAGAAAAAGTTCAATGTACAAAGTTTCTTGGGGTGATAATAGACGAACAGCTAAGCTGGGAACCACTTCTTAATCATTTATCTTTAAAGCTGAACTCCAGTATTGTATCGATTAAGAGAATTTGCAAATTCATTCCCAAATCTGAATATTTGAAACTATACAATGCTCTTTTTATGTCACATCTTAGCTATTGTATAAGTTGCTGGGGTGGGATCCCTAAACATAAGCTGAATAAAATCTTTGCAATTCAAAAACGATGTATAAGACTGCTATTTGGTAACATTCCCAATTTTGATCATAAAGAATACTATTTAACCTGTGCACGTTCAAGAACTTATAACGAACATATGGCTAGCAAGAACTACTGTCTTGAACACACTAAACCGCTATTCACCGAGCAGAAAATTATGAACCTGGAGAATCTGCACATGTACCATACATTTATGGAATTATTCAAAATTCTTAAATTTGATGTCCCCCAGTCGATTAAAGATCTTTTCAAGTTCTGTCCTAGAAATGAAAAACTTCGTCTGATTGTCCCATTACTGAGGTTAGATATCTCCCAACAGAACTTTTTGTACACCTCTACGAAAATTTGGAATGACCTCAGCCCCTATGTATTCGAAATATGTGATGCTAATGTAGATGGGTTGATAATCCCGGGTTCTTCCAAGAATTCAGACTTATCAGCTTCGTCAGGTGTTATTAAATCTAACCTTAAAAAGCACTTGCTATCCCTCCAAAATCGAGATGACCCTAATACATGGTAACTAATCTATATTATATCTCAAACTCTACATCCGGTACGGCTATGCACACATGATATCTCTCTCTGCCATGAAACATGGCTAACCTTTTAAACTGTGATTCAAAACCTAAAGCTAAACTAAAACTCAACTGGGCTCTCCTTTGTCACCAAACTAAACCAATAAGTAATTTAAGATTATTATATTTTTCTATATTTGTATACTGTAATTAGTATATTGACGTAGTGGATGGTTGAGGGGGTTTCAAGCACAGGTCACTCTCAAATCCTAAAGATAAGCAGTGGCCTTCGGCACTTGAAACCTCTTCAAACCTCCCCTGATTTATTCATTATTGATATTGTTTGATTGTGCCGTAAAAATAAATATTTGTTTTATTAAATATTTGTTTTATTTTATTATTAAACACAGCGACGAGTATGTTTCAAGATTCAAATATTATACTGCGAGAATTACGAAACAGGGTAACAACCAAACTTTTCATAACAACTTCACGTTGCACAGTTAAGCTCTGGCACCTGTTTAAACGGTGTAAACTTAAATACCTTAGTTTTGCTGTTTTACAAGCATAATATTACAGCAAGAGATACCAGCCATAAAACCACTTGTCATTTAAATTGGTGTATAAATATTAAATATGACCTCTTTTTATTGAATGATCCTCTTAATGAAGCAAGAAGCATATTAAAACGGTGACTATTGGTCGGGAGGTGAATTGTTTTGACACGTGATAGCGATTTACTAATTTCATTCAGTTGCTACTGTCCGTTGGTTGGTCAATCTTTGATGCGCATTTAATTCGTGTCCAGTAGATCAATTTTTAAAATGGAAGCCCAGATTGACTAAGAATATTGAAATACAGCAACCCTTAGAAAGTATACCACTAACCTAACTCTCAAGTTCTTGCTGTTGTTAGCAGGGCTGAGGAGATCATGCACTTTCTCATTATAGATCTCCATATAACTCACTTCCACGCTGAACGTAGTATCTGCGTCTGTTTCTTCATCTATCTTCAGGAACATATCCTCGCACGTCTAGAAGAATAAATGAAACATTTAGTTGGGTATTAGTTTAACTCCTGGAGCAAGAGCTGATATGTATATTTATGATTAGAAGTCGAAAGTATTAACTATTTTAAAGTATCTTAGGAAGACTACAATATTGATATGAACAATATAAACACCAAACAGAACAGTAGAAACGCTAGATATACAGTTTAAACACAGTATAAACACTAAGGGGCAACATTTATACTAAGAATAGAAACTTCATATTGAGATATTATCCTAACAAACCTGTGGAATAACTCCTTTCAAATCTGTTTGGTCAGGTGCACCCATCATGGTGAAACTTTTGCCAGACCCAGTTTGTCCGTAGGCAAAAATACAGGTATTGTATCCATCGAAAGAGTGGTGAAGAAACTCTTTGCCGATGTCATTATAGACCATTTTTTGTGTGGCAAAGTGGTCATCTTTAGGCTGAAAAAAAAAGGATGTTAAATCTTAAAACATAAATTTGATTCTTTTGCCAGCATAATACTCAAGCTAAAAATTCGGTATATTGAGATAGCTAGATATACCCATGTTCTTTCTGCGGAACTTCAGGAATTTTTCTGCAGCAAATTTTCAAAATGGTAAGTGAAATATACTAATTTTTCTAAAACATTTGTTTGAATCATACTTACATCAGTAGACCAGTAACTATGGTCAAATGTAAAAGTTTTCTTATTCTTTGGGTTGCTTGGATCAGTAATACCTGCAAAAAATATGTGATTTCTGGATGCAGACAGTTTAAGACAAATTCGTTTTCTTGACATCTAATAGCTAAATACAATGTTGAGCGTGCTAAATAGAATAGAATAGAAACTCACAGGTGGTTTTATCCTGCATATAAATAATGCATTTTGAGTTTTTCTTGACCTCGCGCGAGTTAAGCGGTCTCACTCTCACAGCAACTTTTACGGATGACATCTTTCATTCGATTTTGTCTTGCAGTTTCTTCATTTGACCATAGATTCCTCTTCAATACTAAAATATTTACTTATCATGAATAGGATACAACGAAACAAAAACGTTATGGATCTATTTATGAATAGTGTCAATAAACACGAATACTTCTGCAGGAAGTATGTTAGCCAAGCAATTGATGCTGAATCAAAATATGGATTAGTGCTGAATAAAGCTAAACAATAATATAGAATTTGGCCATAGTGTCAAAAAGCATAATAGGGCAAGAGGGAGTTGGGAGGTTATCTGATAAAGAGATTGTCTGCTTTTCCTCTAACCTCACCATTTTTCACCATAATTGTCTTCATCAAAATTCTCTCGAAATTGAGTTGTTTCTGATAGAGGGGAGTGAAATTATCGCCAGTCTAAGGTCAGCGCTTGTGAGTAATTGTATTGCGCAAGTGATTTTCAATCGCGAGTTCTGAACATCGAGTCTAAAGATCTATCTTCTCCTAGTACATTTTTTGAGCAATCACAAATTTTGTTTTACTTTAAACATTTTGTTTTTGATTGAAATAAATTTTCGTGCACATACAGAATGAATGGTTAATAATTTAATATATATGTAGACCAAGGTCTGTGCACGGGATGCTTCCTGGAAGAATCCAGTTCTTTTAGCGGGGCACCCTACCTAAAGCCAAATTGAGATATAATAATCATATTCCTAGAGAAATAATCAGAAATCAAATATCAATCAGAGTTATAGCTAATGAATTCAATAAGTATTTTGTATCCCTAGCATCTAACCTTAATGCAGCCTACACAGAACTAGGAGAGATACAAATAAATCAGCTTCCAAGTTTCTGTGACTTCTTACCTAAATCGAATATAGCTAATATATATCTACATGACTGCTCACCTGAGGAGGTGGCTAAGATCATATCGGAACTTAAGAATGGCAAGGCTAGCGACATACCAGTACATATAGTAAAGGCAGTATCAGGCAAAATTAGCCCACTACTATCGGTATTGTACAACGAATGTATGCAACAGGGATTTTTTCCAGACGACCTAAAAGTAGGTAAAATAAGTCCAATATATAAGAAAGAAAATGCTGAGCTTCTTGAAAATTACAGGCCTATCTCAACCTTAGCAATATTCGGTAAAATACTTGAAAAAATCATATTCTCCAGGCTTTACAGTTTCTTTCAGTCGCAAGGATTATTATATGAAAATCAATATGGCTTTAGAAAAAATCACTCGACAAGCCATGCACTCAACTTTTCTGTCGACTACATTGAAAAATCTTTAAGAGATAAAAATCACGTACTAGGCATCTTCATTGATTTAAGTAAAGCTTTTGACACAATCTGTCATGATAAACTGCTTAAAAAACTGAATGATTATGGAATTCGAGGGACTGCAAATAAATTGATAGCCAGTTACCTTTCTAATAGACAGCAATATGTTTCAGTACTTGGAGAAGAATCCGAAAAACTGTCTGTAATATTTGGTGTTCCTCAGGGGTCAGTATTAGGTCCCTTGCTTTTCATTATCTACATCAATGAAATATATAGAGTATCAGACCTAGGTAAGTTTATACTTTTTGCCGATGACACCAACATATTTGTTGTAGATAAATGTATAAAAACACTTTACTGCAAAGCTAATAAAATTCTTAAACTTGTTCATCAGTATATGAAGAGTAACTTGCTGCATATCAACATAAAGAAATGTTGCTATATCCACTTTAAGCCGAACTGTAGAAATGAACCAGATTCAAACACCAATGAATTAGAACTGACACTAAATAATATAGTAATTAAAAAGGTGGAGGAAACTAAGTTTCTTGGAGTCATTATTGACCAAAAACTGAACTGGGATGCTCACTTAAGAGCGTTAAACCGTAAATTGAAATGTGAGATAGGTAGACTATGTGGAATTAGACGATGTGTACCTAAAAAACTATATAAGGACCTGTACCACACCCTTTTTGAATCACACCTATGTTATGGAATATCTGTTTGGGGAGGTGTATCAAATAATAAACTAGAAGCCATATTTAAAACACAAAAGAAATGCATAAGAATTCTCTTTGGTGATAATGATGCATACTTCAATAAGTTCAAAACATGTGCCAGAGTAAGGCCTATCACTAGGGATAAGACCGGTAAAGTTATCAAGCAGATGTTAGGCAAAGATTTCTTTGAACTAGAACACAGTAAACCAATCTGTAACGAGTATAACTTCCTGACTGTCCACAATCTTCATAAGTTGCACTGTTTACTGGAAATGTTCAAAATTAATAAGTTCCAATCACCAATCTCAATGTTCTCTTTATTCAACAGGTCACCAAGACGAGACAACTACTTCATCCCACCCACTCCATCCTCACTATTCATCTATCAATCAACTAGTATTTGGAATCACTGCCGTAAGTCAACAAGTGAAATAGACTTCTCCACTCCCATCAGTATATTCAAGAATAATCTTAAGAAATCTTTGTTAGAACTACAGTCTAAATATGACCGACAACTTTGGTGCAGTTACAACTTTGATGCAAATGAATTATCATTGAAATAGGTTGATTTAGTAAACATAATCACATGAGTAAACCACAGTGTTATTGCAAAAAACCATGACAAGGGTATCAGACCTATATTAATCTAAGAGACGACACAAAACGAATCATCATACAACAAATTTTAAAATCCTGCGGCACAGGATCTTGTTGTTTTCCTACTCTGCCTCTCCCAAACCCCTCTCTCCTTCTCCTCTCTTCAGGTTTATTCTTCAATTTTTTTTAAATTAGATAGCAGATGTATTTTCTTTTAAATGAAGTAATGGCATTATACATTGATTGGTATCGTATGTATGTTGTGTATAGTGTTTGCTGACTGGGTATATGCTATATATTTTGAGGCTCACGACGTCTCGTCCCATGGGTGGAGTTGTAGGCTGAGTATGTGTTCTCCTTACTTCGTATGGGGAAACATTGACAGGTTTGCCTTAGCCTTTGGGATGAGTGTTTGCCCACCGGGGATCCAAAAATATGATTATCATGGACATTACTTTGACACATAAACTAATCAAACGACTTGAATGATTCCAGAAAATTCTAACTGCATTTAGCTAGTTTATAGTAAATACACACGATCGCAGAATAGAGGAGCACAATTGGGTTCTTTGTTCTGCGACTGTGTTTCCTCGGTGGGCCGACAGGTTTTTGTTGTGTAGTAGTGCTGGAAAAAAAAAAACGCTTTAACTATCAATGAGAGTACAAATTTTTAATTCTTGACCTTAGTGCCACAGTTTCTGTGGTAAAAACAAATTTATAGTTAAACGTTATATAATGTAGAAGGGCATGATTTACTCACATCACTAAGCATCTGGATGGATAATTAGCACACAAGGATAAACTGACCTTTAAACATGACCACCAACTATACCACGTAACCATAGCTCCGAAATAAATAAATTGCTCTACATAGAAACATCTGGCCTGATCCTATCACATTGTGGTCCCCAGGGGTTCGGTAAAGCCCTTACAGGCAACTGGGTCCTTTTACCAGCCACAATAAAATTGGTCATGCCAGTACTGTCATAAACTGTAACCAACTATTTAAAAATTAGACATCTTTAGCTAAATTTTAAATTTTAAGTCATAGAGCAATCTTCTTAATTTTAAAATTTTTAAGAATTATATTTTACCCTAACTATGATGTGGTGGCATTTCATACTTAACTAAATTTCAACTTTGAAAGTAAATAGATTATTAGTGACAACAAATTATAGTTTAAGACATCCATTCTGCATTGTGTTTCCAATATTAGAATTTATGATATGTATTGATTGAATAATTGGTAATAAATTTAACTTTTGTTTTATTAACTTTTGTTTTATTAATCAAATAATAATAAAACAAAAGTTAATAAAACAAAAGTTAAATTTATTACCAATTATTCAATCAATACATATCATAAATTCTAATATTGGAAACACAATGCAAAATGGATGTCTTAAACTATAATTTCATTGTGACTAATAATCTATTGACTTCCAAAGTTGAATTTTAGTTAAGTATGAAATGCCACCACATCATAGTTAGGGTAAAATGTTATTTTTAAATTTTAAAATTGAGAAGATTGCTCTATGGCTTAAAATTTAAAATTCTAGCAAAAGATATCTTATTTTTAAATAGTTGGTTACAGTTTATGACAGTACTGGCATGACTAGTTTTATTGTGGCTGGTAAAAGGACCCAGTTGCCTGTAAGGGCTTTACCGAACCCCAGGGGACCACAATGTGATAAGATCAGGCCAGATGTTTCTATGTAGAGCAATTTATTTATTTTGGAGCTATGTTTACGTGGTATAGCTGGTGGTCATGTTTAAAGGTCAGTTTATCCTTGTGTGCTAATTATCCATCCAGATGCTTAGTGATGTGGGTAAATCATGCCCTTCTACGATATATAATGTTTGACCATAAATTTGTTTTTACCACATAAACTGTGGCACTAATGTCAATTAACAATATTTACATTCATTGATATTTAAAGCGTGTTTTTTCCCCAGCACTACTACACAACAAAAACCTGTCGGCCCACCGAGGAAACACGGTCGCAGAACAAAGAGCCCAATTGTGCTCTTCTATTCTGTGATCGTGTGTATCTACTATAAACTAGCTAAATATACTAAGAAAATTTAATGGAATCATTACAGTCGTTTGATAAGTTCACGTGTCAAAGTAATGTTCATGGTGATCATATTTTTCGATCCCCGGTGGGCAAACACTCGTCCGAAAGGTCAAGGCAAACCGGTCGATGTTTCACCATACGAAGTAAGGCGATTTGAACATATACTCAGCTTACAACTCAACCCATGGGACGAGACGTCGTGAGCCTCAAAATTCTTCAAAATATACAGCACATACCTAGTTAGCAAACACTAAACACAACATACATACGATACCAAATAATGTATAATGCCATTACTAATTCGAAAGAAAATATATCTGCTATCTAATTTAAAAAATTGAAGAATAAACCTGAAGAAAGGAGAAGGAGAGGGGTTTGGGAGAGGCAGAGTAGGAAAACAAC